CTGTGGCAAGTTAGTATTTTGTGGGAAGTTAATCTTATTGATAAATGTGTTATTATTTATACTGTCTGTTATTGATGATGTCAGTTTTTCTATGGCACAATTAATGTCTTCTTTTGTCTTTAGCGGGATTTTGAGGTCGAGTTTGTTTTCCAAATCATCACGAAATTTGTCCCAGTTTACTCGTCCAGTGATCAGTTTAGGAAGTGATGGTTTAGGAGCAAAGTCAGAATGTAGTGAAAGCAGAACTGGACTATGGTCTGAAGAAAGGTCATCCAGGGATTTGATTATAGTTTGGGAGGAGGAAATCTGGGAGGTGATAAATATGTCCAGGATATCGGGACGTTTTTTGAGGGATGTTGGAAAATAAGTAGGATTCATGGGCGAGAGGATGGAATAATTGTTGGAAGAAGAAACTTGTGAAAGGGTATTACCACGGGAGTTGGATGATCGACAACCCCATCGTTGGTGTTTAGCATTGTAGTCTCCTCCAGCAATAAAGCGCGATCCGAGGGATTGTAATAAGGATTCAAGTAGGCTGTACGAGAGGGAATTGCCAGGAGGACAGTATACAGCTGAAAGTGTTAGATGGAAAGGACGAGTTGAGAGGATTACAGAAGTTGACTGAATGGCATCTGTTGGAATAGAAGGAATAAGTGAATGGGGTAAAGATTTGTGGATAAGGATGCAAGAACCGGCGTGGGCAGTGTTGTCTGGGTGGTCAGATCTATAGGTGATGTAGTCACGTATGTAGAAATGTGTCCGTTGGGTGAAGTGAGTTTCTGTCAGGAGAGCAATGTCAATATAATTGTCATGGAGAAATATGTCTAGTTCGTCACGGTGGTTTTGCAGTCCATTAGCGTTCCATAAGAGAATAGCTAGGGACTTCGTGTTCATCGAGGGAAGCTAAGCGGGATTTCGGAAAGGAGTCTGGTTAGAAGGGTTATGAGCGGTTTGATAGTCTGTTGAAGATCTATCAGGAATGACGATAAGATAGTGTTGATGTCGGATGGTGTTTGGCTGGGAAGTGGGTTTGGATCAGGAGGTTGTGATGAGTAGGTTATGCGATTAGGAATGTTGGGTGGGGGCTGGGCCCGTCGTGGGGTACGAGGAGGATCTAAATTCTGTTGGACTTGTGGAGGGGGGTTCATCCTGGGATTAGGAACGAATGGAGCTGGATGTGGATGCTCTGGCGGGAGTTTGACTCTTAAGGGTAAATGATGAGGAGGGATTTGCTGGCGAGGTTGAGGCTGAGGATTAGGGATTTTGGGCTTGGATTGGAAGGCCTGAGGCGCCTGACGTTGAGGCTGCTTCTTACTGATGGAAGACTGGGAGTGAGAATTTCTGAGATTCTGGTGAGGCGAGTCCTTAGCTGTAGAGATGGATGGTTGTTGTTGGATGACGAGGGAAGGTGAAGTCGGCAATGCTGGGAAAATTTCCTGATTTTCGATTTCAGGTGCCTCAGTGTAAGTTTTCTGAGCAGATCCAAGATTTTTCACCGCTGAGTTTCGTGATCTTTGTTTGTAAAGATTTTTATACACTTCACATCCTCTGTAGCTCGCAGGATGGGCTTCGCCACAAAGAGCACACGTCGCAGGCTCATCTCTTGGCTTCTGGCAAGTGTCTGAAGCGTGTAGGCCGGCACATTTAACGCATCTGACTTCGTGATAACAATAGGCCTTTGTATGGCCCAAGTTTTGACACTTAGTGCATTGTACAATTAGAGGCTTCTGTCTCGGTTCCTCAAAACGGACTATTGAGTAAACCAATCGTTGAACCTGGAATATTTCAATATTGGTTTTTGCTGGTTCTAAGTCTATAAAAAATAATGGGAGCGGATATCTTTCTCTAGGATGTAGTACAGGTGCTATGTGCCTGACGTTATGACCGATTTCTTCGAGGCCCGATTTGATAGCAGATATGGGTGTGGTTGAATGCAGTCCTCTCAGGACCACTCGATACGCCTTTTCTTGTTTTAATTGGTAACAGTGGAAGTCGTAGTTATTGGATGTTAAAAAATTGATCAGTTTTTTATAATTGTCTCTAGAATTAGTATTGATTTTGATGTCGTTCACTCTCGAGTAACATCGAAAATTTGGCTGTCCGATCAAATCTGCAATTTGTTGACCAAACGACATAAAGTTCTTAATTTTTGAAACAAATATTGGCGGCGGCTCAGGATCAGAAAAATCTTGAAGCTGCGGAGTCTTGTGAGATAAGTTTTTTTCTTGAATTGAGTTTTTGCTTTCTGATGTTTTTGGTGCAGTTGGCTCTGATTGAGTGGCATTAGATTTGCTCCTAGTTCTCGGTGGAGATTTATCTTGTTCTGGTTGCTTATTTGATTTATTTTTCTTTTTTTTTTTATTAGGTGAGTTTTGTCCCGATCCGGGAACTGAGTTTCGGAGACGCTTTTGGAGTGTACGCCTTTTCAAATATTGCGAGTCGGTCTCGCTAATTTCCGAAAAGGGTGTCTCATCTTCCGTGTCTTCACATGATGTGTTCTTATCCAGATCCATCATGATAAGTGTTAGAGAGAAAAAAAAAAAAAAAAAAAAATATGTATATATATAAACCTAAATATTAAAATTAAAATTTATGAGATAACTTCTTAAAAACTAAGCTATTTACAAAATTATTTACATAAATATATACAGATATAAAATAAAATATAAAATAATTCATTTCCAAAAAATAAATAATCAAAGAAAAAAAATTAAATAAAAGAGTCTCTGGAAAGAAAAAAAAAAAAAAGAAAATATAAAGAAAAAAAAAATGAAGTTAAATGTCTTGGATTCGAACTGAGAATAACACTGAAGAATGTTATTGTACACAGTGCCGAGCCTTGGCTTGAACTTATCGGAGATAAGGTAAAACCCGCAAGGGAATTACTAGCCACATGGGCTAACCAAACGAGCACTAATTTATAACTGTTTCATTGTTAATAAATAGTCACTCACCTGATCATATGTGAATATAAAAATGTAAAACAATTAATATAGACACTGTTGAAAAAGGCTTAGAGCAGTATTTTAAATAATAAGCACATTAAATCGTATCAAGGATAGAGCGACGTGTAAGTTTAATTGCACTAGCGGCCATGACACTTGCTACTTAAATACATTTAAAACAGATATATGGGGTTCCTGGAACCCTCTACACGCCTTAGAAAAATGATGTGCAGGAATATAGCACTAAATATAGAGAAACTAAAGTATATATGGATGAAGTTTTGACTGTAATTTAAAAATTTTAAAATACAATTTTTTTTTATATGTTTTCTAAATATTTAAAATGTTATGATTTTAATACTTAAATTTAAAAAAAAAAAATGATATTAGATACCAAACAGGAAATTCCAGAGGCATGGGAAGCTGCCAAACAGAGTGTTTTATCTATCAAAAGATCCGAATAAATCAAAATAAATGAAACCGTCTTGATACTCACGGAATATTATACAGTTTTAAAGGAAATAATTTTTAATGGTAATTAGATTCTAAATTAATGTTAATTGGATAAAGGACAGATTTATTTATAAATTTATTTATTTAACTGCTTGAACTAAAACGGAACTAATAAAACGATTACGAAGTCCGATAGAGAAATTATTACTCTCATCATCATATCATTATTGTCAGAGATAATATCATATTGTCAACTAGCAAGTCGTTGTAAGCAGTTAATATGATTTATTTTTATGGGATATTACTAAACTAGTTAGGTCACAAACAAAATATTTATTCTTTATTTTATATAAAAGTTTGAGATAGAACAAAAAAAGATGAAAGAATAATATATTTAACGTAGATATTTACGGCAACACAATCAAGCCGATGGGCCTATTATAGACATAATTAATATTTATAAATATTACTCTAATACCTTACTCTAACCCAGTGTAAATAGTTTCCTTCTGAATAACCACTATTTGAATTTCTAATTAATATATATATATATATATATATATATATATATATATATATATATATATATATATATATATATATATATATATATATATATATATATATAAATATTTTTTAATATTGTTGGTTAGGTCTTTCACTTTATTTGTAATAATGAAAAATAACATTATATCCACAGTCCTACTTTATTTTTTACATTACACTTCACTCAACAATTTATACTATGCTTTCACACTACCTATTTACTTCTTGCTAGCATATTATTTATACTTTCACTTACCTATTTATGTAATAGTAAGGGAAAGTATTGCGATCGTGAAAATTTCTGAATTTTTGTTTTCAACGAAAGTACATGTTTTGAGGTCCTCTGAGTCCAAATAACTAAGTCCCACAAAATGGTCTGTGTATATGTTATCAGTTTAGCTCAAAAATAAAAATTCTTACGAAAGTGAAATAGCATATTTAAGGTTATAGCAACTATTTCGTCAAAATCGGCTAATCGAAAATGGCACTTTATAGAATCGATTAAACACAAGTTTATGTAATACTATAGTGTTATTCTTTTAGTTTCGTTTCGTAATTTACCAGTATTTTATTTATCACTTGTTTTATCCCTTATTTTTATATTCTTTATTGCTTGATTTTTTTTTTCTTTTTTCTGTTCTCTCTGATTTCATATATGTTCCTTAATATCATATTTACTCATCCTCCTGTAGATAGCAAATTAATATCACCAGAAATATGTATCTCATAAATAAATAAATGAATTTATCATGAAGTATACATATTTAAATATTAAATTTAAGACTAACTATCTTATCTTACCTTGAAGTTATATCCAGACATGAAAATGAAATTTCACCAACATGAAGTACAATAAGAACAAAACATAAAAACGCCGAAGGAACGAGTTAAGAGAACTTGCACTCTCCAACTTTAAAACTGTAACGAAGTGAAGAATGGATAGACACAGGAGGAGGGATCGCACACTACTAAGAGAACTCAGGCTATATCAAAGAGGGGAATACAAATAGTGAGCAGGTGTAGCGGGAGAGCTATCTGAGCCTAGTGCCCGCCGCGATGCTGGTCGGGGTGGTACTCCTGATCTTGGACCTCTTCGTGGCTGTCCACGGCCAGGGGTTTACTGCTAATGTCACCAAGCTCCTCAACAGCCTCTTGTCCCGATCCTACGATAACAGGATACGGCCTGACATGGGAGGTAACTATACCAATAAGAAATATATACTGTATCCTTACTGTCTTCTTCAGAGGGATTATCTAATACTCTTGTGGCAATGTTGACGGAATAGGCAATGTCATTTATTTATTCACTATCTTTCAAGATTAGGATATTAGGATCGACTAGCACTCATCCATTTGAAATTTTCGGAGTAGTTTTTTTAATTTATGGAATTTGACTTAATTTGATACCTTTCTTGGTTTTATGATTCTGCAATCCTAGGTAAAAATCCGCTTTCTTAGCCTTGACTTTGAAACCCTGTTTTAATTTATTAATAGCTTTCTTTTCACCAGAGACCGCAATCAATACATCATCGACATACAGACATACTAAAATCCTTATATTATTTCAAATTTCAATGAACAGGCAGGGGTCCTCTGAGCTTTTTTTTAAACCAAATAACCATAAAAGCCTGTAACAAAAATAACATGGTGGAGCCTGTTTAGCCATTTTGTGTAATTTACAAACGTTATTGGTGTTGGAACTGATATCTTAAACTGATACTAATAAGTTCAATCGCGTAGTTATGAAATACATATATCACAGGTGAATAATAATAGAGCGAATACATTAATAAAAATCTATTCGAATTAAGAACAAGACCCTTTTGTCTTCATTTATTTCAAAATATTTTATAGTAATAATTTCATCAATAAGTGCCGTCAATCTTTTAGAACTGTTATTCATGCTCGAAGATTAATATTAGACAACATAAATAATAGGTAATAAACTCAAAATAACTAAGGACTTTTAACAGAAGTGCTAATGAATGATTCCATTCATACAACCTCTTCGTTATAAATAGATTTAAAACCATTTATCGTTAAAACTCTTAATTTTATAACATATGTAAAGACATAAACCAGACTATATTCAAAATGATGCTGAACATCAACAAACTCACACTAGGAATAGACCTTGGCCTTCCTTGTAATATTCCGCCAGTTGTGTCAATTGAAAGCTGTAATTATCCAGACTGTTACTTCCATTCTTTTGAGGTCCTCAAGCTAACGTTTACTTGGAAGTCCCTTTTTTCTTTTTTACCGGTTATTTTTCCAGGAGTATTTTTTTGCTATTAGACTGATTTCTTATTCGTTGTATCTGACCTAACATGCTGACTCTCCGAGACTTTATAACTTTAAAATGTCTTAAGTTTTCCAGAATAGTGCTTATGTATGGTATGTATTTTAAAAGGGATGATTAACCTATTCATTTTATAAAATAAATTAGGCACGGTTTCTTCTCCCACGTAAATATTTTTAGTTTCTCACGTAAAGATTTTAGATTAAATATATATATTTTTTTATGGTCAGGTTAGTTCAGCCTCCATTCGGAGCATATGGGAATTTTAACGTAGTTTGTTTTATTTGTTGTTATGTTCCTGTACATCACGTTTCTACAGCGCGTAGGGGGTTTCAGGAACCGCATTTGTTTCTATTGAATGTATTTAATAGTTCTATAAGTATCTCTTTCGGCTCTCGAAGGGAACCAATGTACTTAAAAATATATCAATGGTATATTTAAGGGTTAGATAACACAGAACCACTACTGTAGTGGCCTAGAATGAATAATATAATTTTAATTGTATATCTTTTCAAAAGGTGTCGTATTTATAAATTTACTATTTGTATTTATATCTAAATGCAAGGGAAATTGTTAAAATATCAAGATTGAATAATATCTAATCTATTTACAAATTTAACCAAACAAAAACATATATGTAAAATAATTATTAGTGAGTCATATTAGACGAGAATGCTATTTTGAATAGGACTGATTGAAGCTAATAATGATCTTGAGTGCCAACACAAGTTTACATAGATAACACTAAATAAATGTTATGGCTTAGCTTTTTTTTTTTTTTTTTTTTTTTTTTCTTCCCTATTTAATTTACGACACAGGGACGCGAACTCGTACTTTTCAATCTTCTCAAATCTAATAATTCCGGTTGCCAGGCAACTCCGGTGCTGTGCATACGTTTTAGCCGATTCGTCTACCCCGCCGCCGCGTTACGACTTAGCTGTTGTTTCTTCATTGTGTGGGATACCACTGTATATACAGAGGTCTCTTTTTCTACAACCTGCTCCTTACTCTGTCCTAGACTCCCTCAACTCGCTGTTACTCTCTCAGACTGCTTGTCTCCTCGACTCAGACTCACTCTCCCAGACTCGTTGTCTATTTCCTGTTGTCTCCACTCCATTCCCTCTATCAGGCTCTCTCATTCAATTGTGGACCCTTCAACACCTCTTTTTTGGGTCTTTTGCCGACCTTTGTTCTTTAAGGCTCCATGGAGGTGACCATATATCGGATACTCGGCGTCCAACTGTTAAGTCTATTTCTATGAAATATTTAAAATATATTTTAAATGTGATCTTCACAATACATATAATTTTACTAATTAACGCCAAATGCCTTTACTTACTTTTCAAATCGTATTTTCACTAAATGAGCTTCTTAGTGTTCTTTCAGTTTCCATTATTGCGATATCATCGGCTTAAGCTTGCAAGTCGATCTTACTCTCAATAACGAATCTTTTTGTCTCATATCAATTAAATTTCTTATGAAGATACTGCGGTGTTCTGATCGGAAGATGTTGGATTTCCTTATGCCTAAACTCTACGAACATAAAATAAATATCACAGCTATATCCTACTACCAAACCAAATGCCATAAATATTTCATTGTATAGGTAAATATATGGTATTATAGTAATATATATGTTTACAATATACATTTTTTTTTATCAATTGCCATTCTCGTTTTAGGTTTGTTACAACACTGTTAATATGAGACTATCGCCACATTAAATATGTATTTTTCCACTTGTGATAAAACTATTATCTTCGTATATATTTTTAGCTGTTTATATTTATTTATATATATTTAAAAGGATTATATTAGTATTTTAATGTCTAGGGCCTCCAACTAAAGTGACATGCAACATGCATATAAAAAGTTTAGGACCGATAGAAGAAAACGATGAGGTAATATTATATTTCTTTCATATGACATTATTCACATATTAGCTTTAGATATATAAGATATATTAAGGAAGTTTTAGGTCATTTTAATTTTTTCTTACCTCTTTTCGTAACTACTGTGAAAAACTATAATAATATATTTATTAAATTAACATTAAAAGTTACTAATACCCCGATTTTATTCGGAAGTTACATCAGTAAATTGAAAATTTGATCCTTTATTAAATATAAAGATAGTTACTTATACATAATTACACAATTATGTTTATTTTGTATTTCTAAATCTCGGAGGTTAACTATGTTTTTTCGGTTTTGTGAAATTTTACTAAAAAATACATTATTGCAATCAGTTTATTATTTACATTGAATAATAACAATATAATATAACAATGTTATATTATATTGTACATATGTAAGTACATATTTTACTTACATATGTACATATGTAAGTAAAATATGTACGAGGGCGAGGTGGCCGAATAGGCTAAAGCTTGTTGCACAGCACCGCGAGTTGCCCGGCAACCAGATACATGAAGTTTTGAGAGACAAAAATAAGTACGAGTTCGCGTCCCGGTGCCGGAGGGGATTTTAAATTCCCAGCCCTCACCCTCCGGCCTGGGGAAATCTCGTATAGCCTAAAATGGCGATGAAGGGAAGAACAAAAAAAAAAAAAGATTGTATATGTATGAGGTGAGAATAAAATTTGATCTGTCTTGCAGGCAACAATATAATTTTTAAGAAGGATGAAAAAGTTTAAGTTACAATATCTAACTTATATACTGTTAAGTGTGGAGCGTCCTTCAGTACATAATACGTTTCACCACCTATATTAGTGTGTTTTTATTTAAGAAATAATTCAAAAATGTCCATAATCTTAAGTCATAGAAAAAATACCTACTACCTTATGTTTAAACCGTAAAATATTTTAAAAGTAGAATTGATCACTGAGCATCCCGTCCTTTAACGAGAAAGAGTCTGATAGGCTTTCCCAATCTATCTTGCAAGACGAAAGTAAAAATATCGATAGTGAACTTTTGTTAAAAAAAAAAAAATATATAAGTAAAATTAACAGAAACATCAAAACTTGAGAGCCAGTTTTAATAACAAAGAAAACTGATTTGATTGTCAGAACAAACAATAAATACAATTTTCACCATTTAGTTAAGATTTTTCTCCAAAAATATGGGTTTAATATATAACACATAAGAAATAAACAGTATTTAAATGTTAGAAATAACTAGACTTAATTCATAAAAAGTTCTGGTTGAGTTATAAGTAATATTTTTGAAATTGCGGGAAATTTTAAATAGCTGTAACTTTATCAGAAACTCTGTGAACATCATAATATATATATATATATATATATATATATATATATATATATATATATATATATATATATATATATTATATATATATATATATATATATATATATATATATATATGCAGTTTCTAAAAGCCATAAACTTTACAGATATACTTAGCTCAATTCCATAATATTCTATAGAAATCAGTTACATTTTAATTGGATATCATGTGACTAAAATAAGTTACCTCTGGTATTTGTTTAATGAAACAAAAAGTAATTGATTGAGTGATCCAGGAATGTCTCGCTAACTTAACTTTTGTCCCGCTAGATTGCTGATGCAGCCCACTGTGCGTTGTTACAGGGTTAACTCTGTATTCTATATATATTTCTTTGAGATTTTTGTAGCAATGAAAATTATATAATATTTTGCTAAGTGTATAAATATATATGGGGGAAATATAATGACTTTTCATCAAACACCTGTGATTTATGATTTAAAATACTACATTAAAATTCCACTATCGAAGTTTGCTTAAATAAACTATTGCATTTTACTTCCAATTTTCCGATTCAGTATAATATATTTTTTCATATTTTTATATGAAATATAAAATATATAAATATGAAATATATATAAAATCATTAAGTGATTTTATTGATATGATCTGTTGTTGCACTTATTATATTTTAGACTTTTTTCATGGATATATACTTCCGTCAATCATGGTACGATCGGCGATTGATTTTTTCATTCCCTGGAATTGATGAGTTCTCTATGTCATGGCTTTTCCTGGAGAAAATTTGGAAACCTGACACATATTTTATCAATGGAAAGAAGTCTCACTTACACGGGATCACCAGTCCGAATAAGTTCATAAGATTAAGAAATGATGGGTTGATGACGTACTCAATGAGGTAATTGTTCTTATTAGTTTTCAATGAAGTTCTCACGGATGATTTAAATAGTGTATATAATTATAGCTGCGCTTAACATTATTATTATTGCTGTTTTAACTTCATATTTGTATTTCTTCTTAATATTTTATTTTATATTAATTTATTTATAATATTAATTATTATATTGTTCTTATGTCATTTATTTATAACTTTCGTAAATGTGGTGTGATCTTTTACTGCTGTTGCAATTGCCGATAATTAACAGAGAGTAATATTAAAAAAAATTAATGTTTTATCAAATACATATGCAACGAACGATAAATATTCAAGGGTGGTACACATTCAGGACGCAGCCATTTTCAAAGAGTTTATTAGTGCCGACGTTTCAACCCAAACATGTGGGTTATCAGCACTATGTGTTTTGATCACTAAAGTTATTCAAGTTCTTATTTACCCAGTACTTGAATACCTTCAGTGCTCGAAACACGCCCTGATGATAACCTTCATATTCGGGTTAAAACGTAGGCACTAATGAAAACGTTAAAAACGACTATGTCCGGAATATTTCATCGGAATCACTCACGAGATGTAAAACAGTCGACTAACTTCCTTCAATGATAAATAATCAAATTATCAATTCTAAGATTGTTTTAAAAGAAATTTATGAAAGTTTTACAATAAAAAATGAACCCATTGAGTGTTTCTAGTGATACTGATGTTTAATATTATTAATATTGTAAACAATAAAATACCTACCATTAATACTTACATATACTCATTCCACATTACGTTATTAATTTGGGACTTACCGATATACCTTCCGAATCATTTATATGTTTATGCTAAATTATATATATTTATTAATTTTTATAAATATTTCTCCTAATTATGTTTAGGACCTTTTATACTAATATAATAGCAAGAAAGGAAATAAGTTAGTATTTAAGAACTATTAAAATCAGTAATACATTTTAACTCCGAATTTACTGGCCAATAAATAGAATAAAAATATGTTGCTCAGTGGTAATTATTTATAATAATATAAAATATTATATTCAACTAAAAATCAAAGTTTATAAGCACTAAAATACGCGCACCTCATTCATGAATCTACCTGTAGTAGTACAAGAAGGATAAATCTTCCAATAGGTTTTTTAGATTTAACCACTATCTACCATCTTTAACTAAACATCGATTTAAATAGCTTTACCTTCGCCGCCCGAAATAGGTGATCATTCCCCCAATAGCTCCAGGATATATACAGCAGCAGCCGTTTCCTCTTTGAATAAGCGAGGTCTATCAGTATTGGTAACTAGGAGACCATTGACTGTCTCTACCAATAGGGGTGGATTATTGAGCAGCAAGAAAACAGTAGTGATAAATTTATTGTGTAATTTTAGTTTGCTGAAGAGGAGTTCAAAGATTTCCTGAAACGCCTAATAATAAATAATCATCCAAAATTAATTTTACTATTAATTGAATTGATCAAAAGGCAAACAAATAAGTGTAAAAAAAAATATTCGGAATAGATTTTTTTTTTTGGTTTTTATAACACCTCTTGACTTCCGACCAATAGTCTTCTCGCAGCATCGGTGCTGTTCTAGGCAATAAGCTGTAATCGTTTGGTTCTCTTCTTATGTAGATAATATCCAGGGAGCATGTGTTTTATAATAACCGGACACGATTACAATCACTCTCTTATCGTCAGGATGATTGGCAACATTTTGCAGACGTCCCTATCCATTTGTTGTTTTTTACGGGATAGGATTATTAGCCCTGTGCCCAACTTCCAAATCTGGAGGACCAATGGCCCTCTATGTTATTAGACATAGGGGTCGTTCTAACCTTCCTTTGAATCTCAGGGTTGGGAAGTCGAGCAATCGAGTAGGACTGCACTTATTTATTTATTATTAATTATTTATATTTTTTGTTATTTAATCTCGCGATGGGGATTTAAACTCGCAGCATAAAATTTTTGAAGGTGCCTTAACTCACTCGACCGCCGCGGCTCCAATAGAATATAGGTCAAAATGGAAAAACTGTAATAAATAAAAAAATAAAATAAAAACAGATTAAATTAAAAAAAACGAAAATGCTAAGCAGGGTCTGTCTATCTATCCCAACGCTTCTATCTAAATTTCCTATTTTTTTAAAACCCATATTTTATTATTAAGTAATAAAATCTACAGGATACATTCCGAAGTGGGGATACTGAATTTGATAGAAACCGAAACTGGATCATCTATGTATTAATGCTCATAATCACTAAAAGTTTATTTAAATCGAATTAAGGGTAATATTCGTTACGCTCATCACATTCGCTTAAAGAATACAGTTTAAATTAAATTTTATAAACAATTTAAAACCTTAATCCTAGTACACACTAGTAGATCGTGTTGCGCGATTTGTTTGTAGACCGTTTAGAGACACGGCTAATAGTCAACAACAATCTTTGTCTCGTCTACAATCGTCTACCCTACAATGTGAATTTCTCAATCTCAATTTATATCATATTTTAAATAAACGTTTTTCGGGTTATTTAATAAAATAGTACATGGATTAAGTAATCTTAAATAAACAACTTTTTTAATTTCCAAAATCCTCAATAGTATTTAGGCGTATCCACTTTTTCGAAGTTGAATTTGAGTAGATGATATTTTAAATCTACCAGTGAAATCGCTGTTCCTTTAGAAGAGTCCTTTCCCTATTAACTTTTCCAGGAAGGCTTGGATATTGCCTCTTCTTGGAATTTTCTTAATAAAATGTTTTGGATTCAACTGTGGATTTTGTAGCGAATAGTTTAATATAAATAAAAAACATATTGCATATACATTTGACGAAACTTACTTGATAAAACGTATTTGAATTTCAAGATTTTTTTAGCTACAATAAATGAAATATGTTTAATCTATATATTATTTTTATCTTTTCGTTTTTTTTCTTCAAATAAATTCTTTTTAAATAATATCTCACTAAATTCATTGTAAATTCACTAAGGTACGAATAGATGGTAATGATACTGTTTAAAACATTCATATATAGTGAATACTTTTTTATTTGAAAATTTAGGATACATTCACTACTATAAACCAAACAAATTCCAATGTTTTATATCCTCTTTTTTTATCTCATGATAATACCACTAATTTTATTCTAATTCATACCTGAGTATATATTTTGTATCAATGGTTTTATTTTGCAGGCTGACAGTTGCATCCCAGTGTAAAATGTACTTGCGGAAGTTTCCATTGGACAGTCAAAAATGTTCTCTAATCATTGGAAGTTGTAAGTATAGTAAACTTATTATAAAACCACTTCTCACGTTTAAAAGTACAGGATTTTAACTTAAAATAATTTTTAAAAAATAATACAATATTTCTATACAGTTTTAAAAAAAAAAAATATATATATATATTTACAACTTTTCCTTAATCGACCTTTGAGTATTAAATTTAAACTTCACTATTTAATTGAGAATAAGGTCACTTAATTATTATTTAATAAACTAATGAATGTTCATTTCTTCTGTTTTATTGACGTTTCGATCCCGGTATTTTCTTTTTATTAGTCAACCATGGGATCCTCTTCAAAGCTAGAATTTCAAAAAATAGAGCTTCGATCAGGCCAGGGACACACCGACAGTCTCAGCACCGTCCACTAGCATATATATTAAGCTACATTCATTAGTTTATTAAATAATAATTAAGTGACCTTATTCCCAATAAAATAGTGAAGTTTAAATATATATATATATGTGTGTAGTTCCTCATACCAGACTGAAACGACAAGAAACCGCTCGACGTTTCCGACTACTCCAACACTTACTAGACAAACGCTCTAAACTTCCCTTTAATTACAAAAGACTCATATACTTGACTATAATAAGACCTATTTGGACTTACGGAGTTGAGCTATGGAGCTCCACTAAACCATCGAATTCCTCTCTCATCCAATCCTTACAATCCAAAATCCTTCGTAAAATCCTCTATGCTCCTTACTTTGTCACTAATAAAATAATCCATAAAGACCTCAATGTTCCATATGTTTCCGATTTGGCCAAATCCAGATACCTATCCTTCCATAATAAACTTCATAACCATCCGAATCCTCTTGTTTCTAACCTTGCTTCCTCTTCGATTCCTGATAACCCTCCGAGGCGTCTGAAAAGAAGATGGCCTCGTGATCTTCTCATGTAGACAAATTATTAGAGTGCTACCAGTGGGTAGTTTCTCAACAAGCGTGTTTCATGTAATAATATTTCTCTGCACAAATTTACTTGATGTATTTATACTAATACAGTTGTAAATATCATAATAAAAGTTTTAAAAAAATATATATGTGTAGTAATTAAGAAAATAGATAAATGTTTAAAAAATACAAGTGTTAATAGTAAATTACCCATTGTATTATAGATTTTTCAATGTCGAGTCTGATAATAATTGATTGATGTTAAAAAAAATTGTAAATATTGCATTTTTTTAGGATTAAAGGAATAAACAAATGTTTGGCCCAACTCACCACTATCTGAAGACATTGAACAATTGGGAAGCCACCTTATTAATTATTATTATTATTATTAACTAAACTAATTAAACTAACTACAATACACCTAGAATACATGGGTTGGTAGAGTTACATAAAATTGGCTCTCAACTTAGTTCTATCATCAGTAATATCAATAGGGAAACTGAATAATTTGGCTAAATATCTCAATCCCACTCTCAATAACTTAAAATCAGACAGTAACTATGATGTAAAAAATTCAATGGAAGTGAAGCAAATGCTTGAAAGAATAAATAAAATAGACAATACGTAGGTATTGTTTGGTCTGTTTTGATGTAGAAAATTTCTTTACCAACACCAACTTAAAAGATGTAATAAAAATAATTGAAAAATACAGTAGAATCGCATACCTATATATTGTAAATGTTATTAATTTATGATTGTAAAACGAAATTTGTACAGAATCATAATTAAATCTATATTGTAAATGTCATTATTGTTAAATGTTATTTATTTTATCTTCTATTTGATATTTTATATTTTCGGTAGCTATATTTCAAGGACGTTGGTTTAAAATCGCATTAATAAACATACATTGTCCGACCGAAGACAGTGACGATGAAGTCAAAAGTGAATTTTACGATAAACTCGAATGGGTTTATGATAAACTACCGCGAAACTACATGAAAATAATTGTAGGTGACGCGAACGCAAAGGTAGAAAGGGAAGAAGTTTATATTCCGACGATTGGTAAAGAAAGTTTGCACGAATATAGTAATGATAATGGGATCCGTTTGATAAACTTTGCCATCTCGAAAAACCTAATAATTAAAAGTACGACGTTTAAACATAAGGATATTCATAAATATACTTGGACATCACCGGTTTCGCAAACACGAAATCAAATCGATCATGTTTTGATACAAAACAGCTGGCAAAGCAGTATAATTAATGTACGGTCTTATCGCGGAGCAGAATGTGGGTCGGACCATGAATTAGTGATCGCGAAACTTCGACAAAAACTTAATATAAAAAAGAGAAAAGAAAACCGTTTCGATTTTGAGAATTTTAATTTGGAAAAATTAAAAAATCCATCAATTAGAAACCAATTCGAGCTAGATGTTAAGAATAGGTTTGAAGCTTTAGAGCTTCCTGACGAGGACCACGAGGATATTGACAAGTTATGGGTAGAGATTAGGGATAATATTAAAGCGGTCCGTAACTCGTGTCTAGGAAAAAAGGAAAATAAGAATAACAAACCGTGGTTTGATGAAGATTGCTTAACCATGTGTGAAAAAAGAAAAGCCGCTAAATTAAAAGCTCTAAATAATCCTAGCGAAGACAATCTGGAATACTTCCGAATCTCAAAGAACGAAACGACAAAATTGCTCAAAAATAAAAAAAGGGAGTATCTTAAAAATAAAATAATTGAAATAGAAACTAATAGAATCGAAAATAACGTAAGAGACATGTACAAATGTATAAACAGATCACGTAAATATGTAGGGCCCGTAACGTCTGGAATTAGGGATGATAATAACAATATTCTGACCGATCCGGTTGACATATTGAATAAGTTTAAGGACCACTTTGACAATATTTTAAATACGGGAAATTATGATATGTGTCCTCCTTCTGAGTACCAGAGTGCTGAACCGTTAATAGTAGGACCAAGTAAAGAGGAAGTTGAAGTAGCTATCGGAAAATTAAAATCATATAAAGCAGCGGGAATCGATAATATTCCTATTGAACTAATTGCGGGGAAGCTGGAGTTTCTAAAATACATCGGTTGGTTAAAAAGATCTGGGTGAACGAGAAAATACCTGAAGAATGGAAAGAATCTATTCTTATTCCGATTCACAAAAAGGGTCCGAGGACGGATTGTAATAACTATCGAGGAATTTCACTTCTTCCGGTATGTTATAAAATATTCACTTTAATCTTAACCAGTCGAATCACGGAATACGCCGAGGAAATTATCGGAGACTACCAATGCGGATTTAGACGGAATCGTTCGACTATTGATCAAATATTTTCTTTACGGCAAATATTAGAAAAAAAATTGGGGTATAAAGGTATTTTTCACCAGCTGTATATAGATTTTAAAAAGGCTTACGATTCTATTGACCGCCAGCAACTGTATAATATTCTAATCGAGCAGGGGATTCCTAAAAAACTAGTAAATCTAGTCAGGATGTGCTTGACGGAGACACTCAATAAAGTTAGAATCGGTAATAATTTGTCCGAAAAATTTGAGGTTCGTTCGGGCTTAAAACAGGGGGATTCTCTTTCGCCTGTCCTATTCAATTTGGCATTAGAACATGCCATTAGGGAGGTAATGCGAACCGAGAAAGGGTTGGGTCTGGGTGGGACAACATCCGTGCTGGGCTATGCTGATGATCTGGTACTGTTAAGCGAAGATATTGAAACTATAAAACTAAATACGACAACGTTAATGAAAGCCGGTAAAGAACTAGGACTCGAAATAAACGTGGATAAAACAAAATATATGGTTAGCTGCAAAAATGGCGATACTACTGGTGATATCGATATAGATGGTAATATGTTTGAACAGGTAGATAAATTTAGGTATCTAGGTTCTACGATAACTAGAAAAAACGAAATTGAAGAAGAGATTAAGGTTAGATTGAAGGAGGGAAATGCTTGTTATTTTTCTGTGACAAAACTACTTAGTTCGTGCCTCTTGTCCCGAAACTTAAAAATTAGAATCTATAAAACAATTATCTTGCCTACAGTCCTTTATGGATGCGAAACTTGGCCGCTTACATTAAGGGATGAGCAGCGTCTTAAGGTTTTTGAAAATAAAGTATTGCGTAGAATATTCGGACCGAAGAAGGATGAGTTAACCGGAGAGCTCAGACTGTTACACAACGCCGAATTGCGTGAGCTGTATCCGGGTAATATAATTGAGGTAATTTCATCGCGGCGAATCAAATGGGCTTGTAAAGTTGTTGGGCTTAGTAACGAGAGAATTCCTAAAAGGTTAAAATTTGCTATGCCGAATGGTAAGCGTCCGAGGGGTAGACCGAAGCGAAGTTGGGAAAATTGCATTAAAGCCGATCTGAAGGGACTGGGTTTGGACGTCGAACGGTGGAGGGAGGTGTGTAACAAGCGATTGGTGGTGTCATTATTATTATTATTTGATTATAAACATCAACAAAATGGATATTTTGCATCCAAAATCACATCATCATAAATAACAAAACAATGATGTCCTAGTTTGACAAATAAAAGTATTGAATAAAACACATTGAAATGCAGAAAGACGCCAACTGTCTACCTGTTAATCAAATGTCTAAAATAAACAAATATATTAAAATAGTAGGAAGTGAGGGATACGTTGCTTTAGGTCTGTATAAATAAAGAGCTCCACCTCCGAGGTATATATTTAGTGAAGGCTCCTGCCAAATCAGATAGGGCCGTCTCCAACCATTGCTCTGCTCTTCTCCGTGCTCGTACAAAATTAAATTTAAAGGTAAAAAACTATTAAATAAATTAACAAGGGACAGTTTTCACTCATAAATAATAAATTAAAATTTAATGTTTCCATGTACTGAAGGACAAATGGAAATAAATTTATTTAATACCATATTTTAAGTTTACTAGTTTTATTCATAGGTTAACGAATTCTTCAAATGTCAATCTCCAAGAATATACATGTCTTTGTTTGAGACAAAGAATAATAATGACTGTTAGAATGTAATGCCAGGAGGCATTTTACGTAGTTCTTAGTATTATGCGGTTACAGTAATAGATGGAGCAGCGAAAAATGCAACAGAATATTTAAGATTGGACGCCCTGTAAAGCGCTTTTATGCTTGGTTAGTTAGTCATCCAATTGGTTGTCTTCTCTACTTCGTTTTTTTTTCTGCTGTTTGGGTTTTTGTGTTTTTTTTTTCAGGACATAGAAGTTTGTAAATGTCAGAGATAAGTGTTCTCTACACCGGAACTGGAACTTGTAATCTTCAGATTGTCATGTTGTCAGGTTATGTGCATTTCAAACGAATTAGCCTGCTCGGCCAAACACCCGCAGTTAGTATACCTCAATAATCTATGCAGTGGGCACCATCCTATAAAAATGAAACACTCTTAGTCTATATAAGGAACTCCTAAACTTTCTCGGCAATTTTTTCTTCTGTCCATTTGTTTTAGGAATCCTAATTTTTAAGGTTCTTTGCACATTTCGAAGCATCAGTTTTGCAGTCATTACATTAAATAATCAATTTAATCTATTAAATTTTATTAAATAAATTAAATTCATAAGTTTACATTAAACGAACTACATGGGATCAAAGATTTCCTATATTGCATGTTTCTTAATAGCGGCTATTGAGAATGCCACCTTTTTTAATCATGTAAATGAAATTGTAAAAACCAATTAATTTAATTCAAGATACTGATTAATGATACGTCCCCACATGGAATGCCAGTTCAAATGATATGTTCCTTGCCATCGAGTTTCCACTGCGTGTAGTGTGTTTCAGGAACCGTATTTATTTCTTTTGAATATATTTAGTAGTTATATTTCTATTTCTATCGGTTGCAGAAGGGAACGAATCTACTTAAAAACATATGAATAGTGTATTAAATGTTAGATCCTACAGAACCTCTACTGTAGTATCATAGATTGAATAATATAATTTTTATTGGTTATCTTTTCAAATGATGTCGTGTTTAAAAATTTACTATTTGTATGTATATCTAAATGGTGGTATGCAAGGAATATTGTTAAGTTATCAAAATTGAATACTACTTCATCTATTTATAAATTTGATCAAAACAAAAACATATATGTACATTAATTATTGGATCATTATACTAGGAGAATGCTATTTGAGAATATGACTGATTTAAGTTACAAATGCTGCTAATGACTCTATTATTGTTATTGACTGCCAGCACAAGCTTACAGAGGTGATATTAAATGATTTATCTGGTTGCCTTTTTATGGTGTGGGGGTTTCGCCGTCCTCTAGATGTTTCTTCTTTTCCAACCTGTTCCAGACTGCCTGTCTACTCTCTGTTGCTCTGTTAAGGTACTATTTCCCTGGCGCGGTCCACGACCGCGACTGTTCGCGGTTGACCACTGCTTTAGTGGAATAGAAAGGAACCTATTTCGCTGGCGCTGCTCAGCAGGCTAGGTATGACGTCATATCTAAGCTGCTCCTATCTGACCGCTCTTGAAGCAGTGCAGCTGTTGGCGGCTAGGTTATGTTATCATATTAGAGCATTGTTTTGATGATAACAGTCACGTTGATACGTTTTATTTCCTATGTTTCTTTCAAGTCTGGTAAAATTATAAGAAATATTGTTTAAAACTTAAACAATGCAATAGTAAATTATTTTTTTAAGGTTGAAGTAACAAGATTATTTATTTCACCAACAATATTTTACAGCGAAATTCAAATATATCTAAATCCAAACGATATTAAGTAAATTAAAGAATCCAACTAATTTTAACGTCAGGTAAATACTAAAATCCACTCATTGAAAAATCGATATTTATTTTTTAATTAAAGTGGGAATTTACTGATTACTATTGATAAAACGATAAAACTTCGCCTGCTGTGATTTAATTACAAATATATGATATCTATTACTAATCAATTATGTAATAATTACTATTACTTTTCAAACTAATAATATCTAATATCAGAGGGACTATTGTTGTTAGTACGGCGTTTTCTGTCTTTTTTGGTTCCTCAATTTTTTGTTGTTCATCTAGACAATAGCAAACAATGTCCAAGAAGGGATTTGATGATTTGGATGAGGAGCATCTCATTGAAATTCTGATATTCCTTCTCTTTATGAACAACATTTCCACTTCTTCTTCTTCCTGCTCAAATAAAAAAGTGGTAGTCAGATAAAGGATGTCCATTTTTTTATCTTCGAAGATAAAGCGAAATGTTCGAAGGTTATAGGCAGGTTATAACAATCCCAGTGAGCAGTTTCAGCGAAATAGCTACGCCAACAGCGGTTGGCAGCGTGGAATAGCGGTTGCTGTCGTGGGCCGCGCCAGCGAAATAGTACCTTAAGACTGCCTCTCCTCGATCTCTTCTTTCCACTATGTCTGTTCCCAGACTCCCAGGTGACTGCCACCTCTCAAGGTTCTTGTGCCCCCTTTATACTCCAGTCCTTCTTTATCTTCATGACATCCCAGCCTGCGGCCATACAATGATCTTACCTGCCGCTGGTCAAAGTAAATAAATAGACTAAAAACTCTTTGTTTTTATTTCTAGTCTGTTTATTTATATGAAAAATTTAAATGTACTCTTTACAATACATGACAATACTTTGGTTCTCTACTTATATAAGGCTAAATCAGCTTCTTAGGTAATAGTAGAGCATTAATAATATTTTAAATGTAATATAGCTATTTCAGTAATTATAGTCGAAATTTACTGAAAACGTTTTTAATCGTTAACCAGGATAAGGTTATGAGTTAGAAAATTTTTATTAAATTCTGCACGATATTAATATTGGTATAGTAAATATTAAACGCACTTATACATTTAATATAAATACAAATCAACTTTTAATAGTTTTTCATTTATAACTACAGATGGTTACGTGACAGACGATCTCCATTATGTATGGGATGAATCAGGCGTTACCATCGAGAAGGGAGTTGAGATGGCACAATATGACATAGTCAATGTCACTACAGAGGCAGCCAAGACTACTCTTAGAGGCATTGGTATTTATATTACGATAAATCATAGAGTTAATGGTATTTACTCACATTATTTCATATTTTATTTATTTATATGATATTTACAACTGTATACAAAAATACATCTGGTAAATTCGCCCATGGATATAATGACATGAAACACATGTTGAGAAACTACCCATTGGTAGCACTCTATATTTCATATTTAAAATGTAATAAATTTAGTAACACGATTTTTATTACCATTTATATTTATTATATCATTAAAATTTAAAAGTATCTACTACTCTAATGCAAAAAAAAAATAATAATAAAAAAAATTAATGATTAAGTGAACCAGAATATTGAGCTCTCGATATGAGATTTTTACGTGATTCTTCAACCACATGGAAGGAAGTTTCAGAGGGGTTGTCGGACCATGGTACCGTATGGTATAGGTATATAGTTTGCTAAAAGTTAAAATATATTCATCACAGTTCATTTCGTACAATTTACCACTATGCAATATTTACACAAACAACGATGTATACCTGGTAGGAAATGGTGAATAATACCAGAGCCCTGTTTAAAGATGTGGAGATCCTGGGTTTCCTATTATTAAGCATCATTCAACAAAACATTAAACACTACTTCATTTTATTTCATTATTCTTATTTATTTATTTGTTTAACTTTTGAACCGAAATTCATTAAATCATTCAGAAAATACAATAGTTATTTATTCCTCATTTTTATTCATGAAGAGTGGAGCTATTATTATAAAGGTGTGAACGAGTTGTGGATACTATAAAGCGTATTAAGGGCATGAAAGGATTATAACTATGGCCATCAATTCATTATAAATTGTTAATTGATCTACTGGATTTAGTAGTTCGTCTTTGTGACGTCGATTTTTTATTATTTCACATTCAATTATCTTAGAATTTTACATTTTTTATTCAATCATGATCATTGTTTTACCTAGTAAGCTACAGAAATACAAGTTTTAAATTTATACATTTATTTGATTTTTACTATAACTTGTTTTTTAAGAAATATTACATTATTAATATCTACATTATAAATATAGTTTCAATTAAGGACATCTATAATAGTGATCAATGAGCACTCTATATACAATAAATATAAAAATAATATAACTACAACTAAATTGATCAAAATAACAACTTAAATACAAACATACTAATTTTAAATTTGAATTAACGTTTTTTCTTTTGTTAAATACTTCTGAAGATTTAAAAATCTAAGAAGATTGATTATAAATAATTCAGAAGTATTAGTGGAAATAAGAATTTGAAATATAACATTGAAACATATGTTATAATCTGAATCTCCTTATTCCAGGTGCTCATTATATTCCATAACCCTGCCAAGTTTACAATTCAAATTCAATGCTAGCCGGAAACAATCGGGTCGCATTTGGTTCCCGTAATTACATGGTAAACGTGGTTTAACAGAATTCGTAGTATTACCGCATTGTTGCAAATGCATTCAGATAAAGTGATTAGAACCGTGCATACATGCTTACAGATATACTAGGCAATTTGCATCTCAATCACTTGTAAATCTTTGTTTCCAATCGTAAATGCACCATTGAATTCATAGTTCAACAAAAAGTTCCATCTAAGTATTGCATGCAAAAATTAAAATTTAAGGGAAAAATTTAACGTGAAGTCCCAAATTATCCTTCTAAAATAATACAAAGTAAACAAGTGGAATTTCGTGTACCACCAACGAATATGACGGACCGTAATGGTTGTAAAATTTGAGTTGTAATAAAATTAAAGTGAAAAAGAACTTACGTAGGATTGAGATTGTAGTTTTTAAATCATGAAAAAAAGCTAAATGTTCATCACAAGGGCACGGTGCACGTAGTATGGGTGGATCCCTATGTTCCTGCGGTTTTCGAAAGGTGAAAAAAAACTTGTATTTGCCGTTTTTACTAAAGAGCTCTTCATTCCAACAATTTCATTATTTCGCTCTCGTAAAAAATCTGAGGCTTAAAAGCGAAAAACTGATCTAGATTCGTCTTCACATGTCTCTCATCAGCGACCGATTTTCCGATGAGGGAACGAAATAAGTGATAGTCAGATGATGCAACGTCTGGTGAATACAATGGGTTTAATAAAACATTCCAGCCATTTTGCACTAAATTTTACTGAGTGGCTATTGCAGAGTGTGATCTGGCGTTTTCATGGTGGAATACAACACCTTTGTAATTGATTAATCCTGGCTGTTTCTGTCACAATGCTTGGTCCGAATTTGTTAGCTCCGTGCAGCAGATTTCCGAATCAATCCTTTTTGCTTGTAGAAGCTACTGGTAAACAACACGCTCCAATAATCCCACCATATGGAAAGCAAAATCTTTTTGGTCTTCGGAGTAGTATTAGGGGACCATTAGCGGTTGTCTTCGATCTCCCACGCACTACCTGGTCAGTATTCGATTGAGAATAGATCCGTTTTGTGCCGGTTCAGAAGAGAGTTCAGATTGATATTTTCTGTACCAGATTTTCCTCAGTCAGTTTGTGTGACCCCCAAACATCGGTACAGGACACGTAACATAGCTGTTTTAAATGCCTAACGGTTCCAAAACGTATTTTCAGTGTCCCCGCGATTTCTCGTACCAGTAGTGACCGGTCTTGTTCGATTAGAGCCTGGATATCACTGGAATCAACCTCGGTGGGCCGACTGCTGCAGGAAGCATCTTCGAGACTCGTATCTTCGGAACGAAATTTGGTAACCATTTTTGAGCGGTACGTTCTCTTAAGGCATCGTCCTTGTACACCTTAAATATCTTTCAGTGAACCTCCGAAGCTCACTTGCCTTTTTAAAAATAAGAATACTAAAAATGCACTATATCATTTGACATATTTACTACGCTGTAACACAACCAAAACTAATACCAAACACAACAGTTTCGAAGTGCAGTCTTTAAATTTTCCTATAAGTATCATTTTTGTCAGATAAGGCAAAGATAACTGGAGATATCTCGAAAACCATTCTCACTACTGACAAAAACCGAACGTACTTATGGTTCCAACCAATATATTAGAAGAAAATAAACAATGTGGATTATTATTTTGAATGCAGCAGTGAACTGAATGACAATAAAACAAGTACCAGTACTGCTGGAGAGAGGGGGTAACTAATTCCCACTATGGATTTTATAATCCTTTTTACAGCCCCTGATGGCTACCTAGAAATTGCCGCCCAGGACAAACCTTGATGCGGTTGTCAAATTTATTTTTCCGAACCGCTAAGAAATAAAAATCAGTAGTTTCTTAGTGTCTCATCAAAACCCAACTGAAAGTCGATATCAGAAAATTTAGAAACTGGCATTCTGATACCCTCGCTCTACAATGCTAATAAAACAGATAACAGGACACTTAAATATTTCGAAGTTTTGTGGACTCAATGAACTGAATCGCTCAGGAGAAGTAAACTGTTTACAAAAATGAATGAGAAAATGAGCCATTTAAAATTTATAGAATATTCTAACTGATAAAATTTATTAACATATAAACAATTTAAACTGACGAAAATATGTTTGTTCTAGATGTGTATTCAGTAATTGAAGTTACTTTCTACATGCGCCGTTCTATTGGTTACTTCATGCTCCAGATCTACGTGCCAATTACCCTCGTTGTCTGTAGCTCTTGGATATCCTTCTGGATAACACCATCTGATTCTTCTGGCCGTACTTCTCTAGGTAAGGTAATATCATAAAATAATATTGTTATATTAAGATTCTGGTATGATCTGCTAATAAAACTGTACGTTTAAGTGAGATAAAACTTTGGAGGTAATGAATCAATAGCATAGTGTGTTTTTCAGGGGTAACAACAGTTCTTTCAATAACAACCCTGGGGTTTGGAGGCCGGTCAAGTCTACCAAAAGTTTCCTATGCCACGGCATTGGATTGGTACGTGATTATTTGCTTCGCTTTTGCTTTTGCAGTCATGATTGAATACGCCATTATAAATTTTATGGACAAGATTGCCGAGGACATCAGAAGACTTCTTGAAGAGGAGGCCAAAAAAAAATCTGAATTGGTAATTAAAAATGGCAAAAACATTATATACATATCATAAGCGAGAACGAGATCAATTAAGGCATAAAACGTTTATTACAAAACTTGCATTGTATCTTAAATAATTAATAATTGTAGCTAATATTATAAAAACTTTTTAGTGGTATTTTAATGACAATTTAGTTTATTGTTTGATTATACTATGTTAAGGAAGCAACAGCTAATACAAACATTGACAAGTCTTTAGAAGTAGATGAAGAATTGGAAGAAATTGATGCAGAATCTCTGGAGGTGCATCCAAAGCTGAGATATAATTTCCTACCACACAGGTGGTTCTCCGTTCCTGCTGACCTGTCGTCTCAATCAATAAGGTACAATTTAATTGATTTTACATGATCGACAATTCAAATTTCTTATATATCCGTTTGTAAATTATGTTAGCCTAAGTGAATTATGTAAATCACCTACTCTAACCGTTTTAGAACACAGAATATTAAGGAAAATGTGGTTTGGGAAATAGGGTTTAAAAAAATATTCCCTTAACGATCAGCTACAAATTTAATTTATAATGAAGGACAGAAGAATTCACAACACTTAAGAACAATACACGAAGAATCTTTTAGAATAACGTTTATTTCATTTTATTTATTTTTTTGTGTGTGTGTTTTTCTTTAAGTTTTGCTCACCTCAAAGGTAAAGCATGATGCCAAATTGAGATATTTGAAAATTCGTATGTAAATTAAGTTTTAGCTGTCAAAAAATATCCTTACAGAGCCCTATGGATCTCAAAATATTTTTTCCAGAGGCGCTATTTTAATATGTTAATAAATTAAATTCACAATGAAATAACAAAATATTCTAAAACAAAACGCGAGAAAAATATTAAGCATTTGATATTTTAATGAAATATTTAGCAAATATTAATGAATTGATTTTAATATCATATTTCGTTTGGTAACAATTAAATCTCTGTTTATATCTATGATAATAATAAGAAAGGGATGAAGTACTCCATTTTTTTCATTTTGATTGGGCTAGTAACTTAACTTAGAGTAACTTAAAGTAACAACGCAGAGTTCATCGATGGTTTCGTTTCACCCAGTATAGTGATGAATCTGATGCCATCGATGAACTCAGCTCTTTAAACTTCCTATAGAAGAATAGAAACTTGCTACAGTTGCTATAGCCTGAATAATTTAGGTTTTTTAAGGTAATTTGACAGAACGGCAGGTTTTATATTTCGAGAAAAAAATCATTTAAATTTTATTAATACAGTGTTATAATCAACGGTGAAGTTCCTAATCTCAGCGCCGAGTTTATGCTTTCTTAATTTATATAAATAAATTTATTCATCATTTATTTTCTTTATTTTTGTTAATATATTTTCTGAAGTTGTAACAGGCTTTAAAATCAAGGTCACTGAATTTATGAGCCCAACTACCTGCTCTTAATGAGCAGGTAATCCACGTATACAGGTAGGGTCAGGAGTATTAGGGAATAACTATTTTTCACTTTCATTCATGAATGAAGTATAGAGAAAAATTTCGTTATTCATATCTCATTAGTAATATTAATAGTAATTTAAGAATGTAATCTAAAGGTTACCAATATCAGTTTTAACTATTTACAATAATATTATTTAATTTCCGATCATCAGGATGTTTGATCAACCTGATCCTTGCCAGAGGGTGCTAGAGCACCAATTGCTATGGATAATGTCCCGTAGATTTTGGGTAGAGGATTTATCTTGAGATATTATTTGGAATGATTATGTGAGGATGCAGTCCAAACTATTTGGTGAATAAAGATAGCGAAGGAGTGCACTGCATATTCTTGTTCTGCAGCTGTTTTTTTAGAAAATTCTGAGGTCTATATCGTCATCCAATGTGAAGGCTGCTGTCTTGATCAATAGCTCCGTCGAAATACATACTAAAAATTGATAACACGTTTTGTATTTTTTTTTTTACTTTTAGTTACACATGATCCTAATGTTTGTTATTTTCTGTCAGCAAATAAACTGGAATAAGTTTCCGTATTTTTTTTTCAAATATTTTGGTATCTGCCATTTATTTTTCTTCAAGGTTCCAAAAAAGCTTAAAGAGTATAAGTATAAAAGTAAAAGGTAAAAAGATTTTCCAAAAGACTGATTTCACTGACCAATTATTGGCAATGATTTTATGTCCAGTCAGGCTAATAGGTTCGATCATTGTTTTTACAAAGTCGAGGACTTTATTGCTGACAAACTACAAACCTTCAGGCTGCTTGCTACCGTATATGTCCAAGTTCAGAATGGAACACAGTTGAATCTGTTAGTGCAAACATTTTTATCACGTGTTTTGCTGGCTCTAAGGAGATATATTAGATAAATGAACATCGACTTCTCAAAGCCTCTACTTTCTCGTCCAATATAACTTAGAAACTAACGAAATAACAAGATTTACAGTTATCAACAAATTGTTGAAACAGTTCTCGTACAGTTTGGAGTCGGTGTGCCTTTATTGTTAAAGCGAAGAAATACATAAAAAAATCTCTTTAGACTCATTGTGAGTATATACATTTAAATTCCGAAACCGTTTTTGTTCCACAAATTTTGTAATTCAGCCTCCCAGCTTAGTGCATAGTGTTCATGTTTACTGTTCATTTTTACTTCCGTCAGCTGAATTTACTTAAAAAATAAGTCTATGGGTTTCCTTGACGTCCTCTTCATCATTGATGTTATAAATATCCTTACGTAAGGACAGTATAACAAAACTAACTATCATTTTAAAAATAGTGAAAAGAAATTAGTTAATACAATAGTAGTCGCGTAGGATCTCAGAGATGATTCATCCAATAACCCAATACAACCTAACCTAACCTAACCTAACAAGATTTGTGGCTGCTACCAGGCTATTTGGATAGTAGGAGGAAGTGGTTTGCAGGTTTTAACAACCACTAGTCACACCCGCAAATGTTTTTATGAAATCTCTCAGATGACATGCAACTACTAGAGTATTTAAAATTGATTTTTCACAATAAGAGATAAAATTGTGAGGGACTAAAATTGTGAGGGGTAAAATTGACAATTTCGTATTTCTTACTGTTGAAAAAAATAGAACATAATTATGTTGGAACATGATGTACAATACGGAAAAACTAATCATGGCGGTATCCTGTATTCTATTCTGAATATTTAAATTTATATTCTAGTCTACGAGTCCAACGAATAAATTTTAAACTGGTTTATCTTTATGACAAATCATAGATTTAATAATGCATTTAATATTTACAGAGATGACCTACCTTGGACTCCAGTTCCTCCCGTCACACCTTCCAGTAGGAGGTCACCCGTCCAGACGTGGAACCGTCATGCCTTGGCGGTAATCCTGAAGTTATGGAAGAACTTCAATTTCTTACCACAAGGAAAGGAAGGCCTGTCCGAAAAGGGTTTCAGCCAGATCGACATCGTGGCAAGGCGTGCATTTCCGCTAGCCTTCGCCATTACAATGACTACTTACACGCTCCTATATGCATACTACATTACAGATATGAGCGTTGACGATATGTGATTTAATCGAGAAACGTGGTATAGGCATAATAACTGATATCGTAATAAATTATCCCTTCCAAAATAACATTGTACATTTTAAAAAATGAGGGATTATAAATAACTAGAAACAGGAAGGAAGGTAAACTAATTTTATAACGGATGATCTACAATGATATCCTTCCCCTTAATAATCCTAGAAATAACAATAATACTTGGTAGATCCGAAGATTCAATACCGATACCATTATTTATATTTAACTCTAAAATTTAAACAAAAAATCACAGAACTAGTTCTGATAATTTTAAATAATATTTAAGTATATATGTATATAAAAACAATATTATGTATTATGATTTATATATATAAAAAAAAGTATATATATTTTTTATAAAGTAATACCATGTATACCTATACCGTTTTTAATGATGGTTAAAAAACATTACTAAAATCTTAAAATGAAGATTAGCCATAAAGATGGGTTGCGAATGTTAAGTAAATTTTACTATAAAAGTAAATGTAATGTTAGTGAAATGGGAGTTATTTTATTTTATGCTACATTTTGATTATGCAGAATATTTATATAAGAATCAAGAGATCATTTAAAAAAAAAAATTAAATTTATTGTAGAAAAAATTTAAGTATATTTCATAAAGGAATAAACTAAAATTTTGTTTGATAAGTAGATATATTTCTTTCGAGAATGGATACATCAATAAATACCTCATGGACTTAATAAAATAGCATATACAAAGAAAATGGACATAAAATTTCAAAAATAGGTTTTGTAGTTGCTAACACGAAATTTTTTTCATAACAAAAAATAAACTTGTTGCACACTAATCATGAAAATACAATAAAAGAAATTTTATTTGCAAAGCATTACAAAAAGTTAAGAACATGAAATACTATCATCCTTTATTATTATTTATTATCCTGATTTGTTCTACTCAAAATGTCCTCGAAACAAATTCTCCCAAACATGCATGAAAGTCTTCCTTTCAAATATTAATTATTTTTTCTCATCCTTCTCGCTCAAAGTTTGCGTTTCTGAGCCAAAACAGAAGACTGGTATGACGATTGCTTCTTAGAGCAAAATTTTAATTTTTTTAAAACAGGATTTTCCTTCTCAGTGGACATACCACGAAGCAGCGATTTTTACTCCTGGTAACACGATGTCTTCAACTAGAAATGTTGACTTGAATTCAACAAATGTGTGTTTAAATACTATGTATATATTTTAAAAAATCTTATATCAAACATCCCTCTAGTACCTTCGGTTTCAAATTTATGATCATTTTTTGATAAATCATTTGATGAAATTCGAATATTTCTATTTTAAAAGTTTTATAAAGTGATATAAAAAAATCTACTAATAAATAATAATATATATATATATTTAGAATATATTCATGTTTTGTAATAAATAATAGTTAAAATCTGAGATGTAGAAATCAAAGTACATGGTAATTTCCAATGGAATGAAATTACTATTTTTTTTTATAGAATAAACACTTGAAATTTGTTTATGTTTCTTTGTGCAATCCAAAAGATACATAATAGAATAAAAACACTACCAATTATTTTTCTGTAAATATTAATATATCGTTTTATGATAAAATAATTTATGGATTCGACGAAGAACACTCGACTTTAAACTTATAATTAAAACATTATTAATTAAAAATAAAAATAAATATTTACTAGATTGAGTTTAAAGTATATCATGACAACTAAAAATGAAGAAAATACATTTTAAAACTTAGTTATCATGCAATGTATTTAATTTATCGTGACAATATCTCCCATTGTGGGAAATTAAACAAAATAAATTGTTAAAGTGATGTGACCCGCAAAAGAAGATAAGACTAAAGTTGGGATTGCCTCAATAAGAACAATGTGCAGGTAGGCAGGTATCTGCTTCTTCATGCGAACCTAATTTGTCAATGTTGTATCACTAATTATGAGCCTGAGTAATGACCTGATTGCTAGAAGTATTGTTTCGACAAAAAATGATTAATAAGTAAATGAATAATTTCAAAAACTGTTGATGAAATATGGTACAAAATACAAAATAGATTAAAAAAGAAGACAAGAATCACATTTTTAATGAAAACGAGTAAAAACAACAAGAAACAGAATCAATTTTCTCTTTCTTATTGAGTTTTTACTTCATAATTGGAAAATTTCAACCATATTTTAACCCAATATCCATCCAGTATTTTTTTTTAGGGGGGGGGATTTTTTTAAAAAATATTTCAACCTCCACTTATGAAAACCGAAGAACCAGAAGATAAGTAAAACTGTATTTCCAAGTGCCAAGGAAATAAGAAAAAATAAAAATAATGTTTACATACTCATCATAAGACATTGCTGAACTATCAACAGCTAAACACACATTTCTGTTGTGCGCCAATAACATATTTGGTTTATAGTTGCAGTATATTTCTTTAAATTTACTTAAAAGAATATATTTATTTTATTTACTTATTTGTTTAAATTTACAACTGTATTAAGAAAAACTTACAACAAGCGAATGTGAATTGATATAATGACATGGTCAGACTTGTAGGAAAATTACCCATTGCTAGCATTCAATTTATAGTTCTGTATTCAATTTTATAGTTCTGTATATAGTTATGTTCTGTAATATTCAATAGTTCCAAAGCCATATTTTCACACGACTAGCAGAATTGTCTGAAGTCGAATAAGCGGCAAGATTGGAAACTATTGGGTATGGATGGCCCTAAGTTTATTATGGAAGGATAGTTATAGATAATTTTATAGATTAATATTTTCTTAAAATAGTGGGTATTTTCATTGAATGTCATTCGGAATTGATACGTAAAAAAAAATTAAGGATATTTTTATTGTGATTCAATAATATTTTTCCCTATTTTTTGACACTTCTCTGATGAAGTCAGAGTGTTTAATAAAATAAATAAATAATAAGAACTTAATTAATTTTTTTTTAGAAAAGGGCTAATCTAAACAAGGAAGAAGGATAATGATTAAGATTGCCAAACATATAATATATACATTTTTTATACATATAAACATAAAGTCTTAATAAATACAATTAAAGACTTAATAAATACAATATTATAGATAAAACATCTCAAATCAGTTGAAAAATAAACTATTCTGCGATCATGACATCAGTGGGGATATAGATGTAGAGCAGGTGTAGCGGCAGTGTGATGCTAGCCTAGCTCCTAGTGCCATGTTAGTCAGAACTGTATTAATTTTCCTTGTGGGTTCACTCAGCCTTTTTACAGACGCCATGGCCCAAGATTTCTCGGCCAACGTCACAAGGGTTCTCAACAGCCTCTTATCCATGTCTTACGATCAGAGAATAAGGCCAGGAATTGGCGGTGAGTAAGCATCTGTTTTAGTAATATTAACAAAAATGTGTTTGTTTTATATCCAAAAGTAATTACCATACACTTGCTCACGACCAACGAGTGAAATACTAAAAGAAACAAAATGCTTCATGTTTTACATCACACCAGCTCTCAAAACAAAACACGGAGGTTTGGATCGTTGCCAATTTTGATAACAGCAACAATAGTTTTGTGATTGTTAAACCGTACTTAAAATTAAAAATATAACTATTAAAATATTATTATGATGTTTGGAAAATGTTTTAATGTTGAATTAAAAAATAACTTATTGATACATGAAATAAACTTAACAATGTCCAATGTTTAAAAAAAAAGTGGTTTATTAAAAAATATATTTTAAGATTGTGAATGACTTCAATTCCAAACAGTTAATTCGTGTATAAACAAAGAATATTTTTTAGGTATTTTTAAATAAATAAATATTTCTATTGCCTATTTTTACCACGTTTTAGGGTGTCTCGGATAATAACACGAATATGTTTTAATGTTTTATTGTCTATATAAATAAAGATTTTAGATCCGAATTAAAATGAAATGTAAGTACGAAATTGAAAAAAAAAAAATTAAGCTTATAAATAAATTCGAAATTAAAAAAAAAAAAAACAGGGAAGGTAAAAGAATTTTTCAAAATGTATTATGCTGATTTAATAATAAAGTAGATTATAAAATGTATATTAATACTATATTAATAACAGTTTGCTAAAAGATGAGAGAGCTCATGTTGATATATTTATTTATTTAATTTATTTTTATTTTTCATTTTAATCATTAGGTCACATAACTAAACGATATTAATAAATAATCTTTAATTTGAATTATAGATAGTCTCCGCCACTGGTTTTATTTACCAAACATGGTATTTTTAAAAATAAACAGCGGTTTGATGGAATAAATAAATTCGTATAGATAACCGTTTTCTTGTTTACTGCAGTAATTTGATAATTTATCCTATTTAAAATATGATTTTCAATGTTTTTTTTTTTCTTAGGTCCACCCACCAAAGTGATGTGTAACATGCACATTAAGAGTTTGGGACCCGTATCAGAAAACGAAGAGGTAAATGAGAATTTAATAAGTAACTTCATTCGGATAATTTCTTAATTATCAACACCATTTACAAAAACTATTTTAAACAAATAATGAAGTAGTGCGCGAAACTTACATCATATTTTATCAGCTCTAGTCTTTATGCGGTTTTATTTAAAATGTTAGGCTTATCCTCATAATGATTTTGTACTTAAATACCAAAAAGTTGTCACAGTCGTATAAATGAGACTTAATAAATTGGTCGGATTTTCCAGACCTATTCTCTGGATGTATACTTCAGGCAAACATGGTTTGATCGTCGCCTTGGATTTTCTTTTCCGGGAATCGAGGAGTTCTCCATGTCTTGGCTTTTCATGGAGAAGATCTGGAAACCAGACACCTTCTTCCTCAACGGTAGGGGTTCGGAGCTCCACAGTATCACTAGTCCCAATAAATTTGTTAGGCTGAGAGAAGATGGTTTTCTAAGCTCCTCAATAAGGTAATACTAAGTTAGTTGAAATATTCCCTAAAATTATATTAAATTACTTTCAGAATATAAGTATTTTGGAAGTATATAAGTTGGTTGTTGCAAGTACGAGTAGTCACAGAGTAAAATAGTTTTTTTTTTTTTTTTCTGTGTGCTTGGAATCCCCAACTATCTTCCCAAGCATATTATCTACATTGAACAGTTTCTCCACCATTTTTGTTGCAGGCTGACAATATCAGCGGAATGCAAAATGCATTTAAGAAAATTCCCGCTGGATTCACAGAAATGCTCGTTGATCATCGGAAGTTGTAAGTATCGATCAAAATATGAATTTCATTGGCAATTTTACTAATCTTTATCACCACAATAGTGTTTATAAATATTACCACTTTTAGGTTGCTAAGATTTAGATATAGAACTTATCGTTTCATTATTTCTTTCTGTCTATAGGTCAATCGAATAACTACATTTAGTTTTCTATTATTGTTTATTAATGAAAGTTACGGGGAACCCTTGTTCCCTTAGATCTTTGAGCACTCTTCAGCATATGATATGTCCTAAAATTGGGTAAGTCCACTACTAATACATTTGGTAACCTAATTTATTAGTAACCAGGATACTCCGAAAACCTTCATTGATAAACAATAATCAATAAATGAATGTGATTATTAGATTAGGCATAAAAAAATAGTGGAAAGATAATTTAGAAAAAAAATTCAAAACTGGAAAAAGGAAAATATAAAACTTCTAATAAGCATTCACGTTCAAATTATATTCTAACAAGATATTTGGATGATTTATAATCATGTAAAAAACGCATAAATTAGTACCGAATGATAGTACAATTAATCCATCTAAGTCATAGATACGGAACCTTTTTACCATTAGAGACCACTGTACAATCAAGCCGCAACTATTCTTTGTATTTTACTGTTGCTATCTTTATTTATCACTAAATTCACACACCCATAAAAATATATTCAACATAATTATATTATTACTCTTCAAATTTTCATAACTTAAATAATTAAATAATAATTAATTTTAGCGCAAGATTAATAAATGTCTCGCAAAAAAGTTTGGAGGCCACATGCGACCTCGAGGCCGCAGATTCCCTAGACGTTGACTAAACTTAAGTAAGGGAGGATGTGCCGATGGTAATGATAAACTGTTTTTTATATTTGGAATATGTTAAATAGAAAATAAAAAAAAATATATTCATTTTTTATTTTTCCACTATCAAATCAAAGCAGTGACAGTAATGATCTATGTTATAAAAACATCTGTCACTGCTTTTATTTGACAGAGGAAAAATTAAAAAAAGTATTATTTTTTATTTCCTATTGAATATATTCCAAAGATAAAAATGATTTGTCATTCATCACTGACATACCCTCCCTTAATCATTAAGCTTAAGTTAAGTTTAGCAAACGGAGATAATATGTATGTATTTTATAAACAGTGGTATAATCTTACGTGTTATATGGTGATAAATAGACTTTACTTAAAGTTCGTGCTACTGTAATTGAAAAGCATTGATATATTTTTAACTTAATTTGTTAGCCTACTGTTGCTTTCCAAATATAAAATCTTTCCGAAATCCGAAATTTAAGTAATTAATATAAACCGAGGATACTTTGGGACTAGGGAATAATTTTGTGCCAGATATTAATAGGTAATTTTAATCATCATGCAGTCTGCAACATTGTTACATCAAGACTAAAGGAACGTTGTCTGAATACAAAAATGATTCAACTCGCCAGGTAATTTCATATACAAAATAATCTCTGGGACAAGGTCAACCTCTACACACAAAGTAATCCTGATTTACGATATAAACAGTAGTATAATGTTATGGACATTATAAATAGCAATAATATTATTTATTTAATATTAATATTTTATTAAACTTATATTAAATTAATATTTATGAATAAAAAATAGATAGGTATATGGAAGAATAAGTATTAAAATATATTGTGATCGATACAAAATGTATATAACATTTTCTGAATGGAATTTCAATGACATGAAACCAGCTTACTTTCATTCAATGTAGTATATTTAGAAGATTCGGATGCCAAGAATCAGTGAACCTTTAATTCAGAGGTCGACGTCCTAATGAAATCTTAATCTAAACCCTTTTTTTTCTTTTAACACCTTAAATCTGATTTAAATTTGTTTTTAGATGCTTATACCTCTGAGGATCTTCAGTACAATTGGGATGAGAAAGGTGTCACAATAGAGAAGGGGGTAGAAATGGCACAGTACGATGTCGTCAACGTATCAATTGTCTCTGCGAAAACAACAATTAGAGGAAGAGGTAATTTTAAAAATTAAATACCGTAAGATGGGATAAATTCGGGACTAAGAGGGTATCTTTGGGACAGCGGGAAAAATTTAGTTTGTGGTGTTTCTGTGGTCGATACACTGTGTTAATTCAGTCAGCATGTACAATGCATGTACTGCGTACGACCTTCTGGCAGTTTGAGAACTCTAGTTCACTAAACTAGTTGTGCAGTTAGGTTTTATTTATTTCCATTCTCTGTTTGTTTTTCAAAATTCAGGCTTACATGAAACATTTGCTTGTGCCTCAAGAGTAGTGTGCCGCGAAGTAGTTGCGTTGTCCATGCTGGCTGAACCAACACAGTTTTTCCAGCAATTTCCAGCAGTGATTCTCTTGCTTACCTCAGCAGCAATTTTATTTTCAGAATTCACTTCCACTCCCATGTACGTGAATGTTTTGACACACTCGAAGGTGAGACCACATATTTCAATGCTCTGAGGATCATCATCATTGTCGGCCCTGACATACATGTATTTTGTCTTCTTTTGATTAATTTCCATCCCAACATTTTCACTTTTAATATTTCATTTATTGACCTCAAATACTAGGTAATTAGTCATATATCGTCTGGGTAAGCACATATTTGTACCATTGCGTTAAGTATGCAACCAAGTGAATCCAGTTTTTTCAAAATATTATTAAGTGTAATATTAAATAATGTAGCAGCATCTCCTTGCCTAACCCCAACTGCCATTGGAAAGTTATTGCTTACATTGCCTTTAATAATTACTTTTGCACTGCTATTATTCATCGTCATTTGCAACAACCTAATTAATTTTTATGGAATTTAGGACTCATGTAAGGCATTTATTAATTTGCTTTAAGAAGCAAAAGAGTAATAAGTCACTCGATTGAAAGCTTGCCGGCAATCTATGAACAATCCAAATTGCTGCTGAACCCACCGTGGAATTACCGCAAATTAAATTTTACCCTCTGTTCCAAAGTTACCCACCTAGTCCCAAAGTTACCCCATCTTACGTTAGTCAAATTGTTATACAAATTAAAAATAATAAATACAAATTTAAAAAATGTTTTAAAAATATTTAAGACCGATTTTTCGGGTAGTGATAATAATAATGATCAAAGTGATCAAGACCAGACGTTTTTTTCTGAATTGTATCTTGTGATGAAAATACATCATATATTTGAAAAAAAAACACATTATGAAACATAAAAGTAATCATAACTATTTTAATGGCGTTTGTTACAATTAATGATTCATATATTTTATAAATACTGTTCAACCTCGGATAAGAGGAATAATATTCTACAGCTTCAGAATTTAAAACTAGTTGAATCTGATATAAGTCACGAAACAACTGCCAAAAAAAGAAAAAGTGACCGGTCACTTATATCTGGTTTTGACTAGTTCAAGTCAGCAGGGAAATTTATATCAAAAGATTCCTTATCTCCATTGCAGATATTTTCACTACACCCTTAACCATTAGAAGTGAACATTTAGATAACATACGCTACTAGAAACCTATCAGAAGAATATTATACATTTTTTATAAATGTTTGCTGCAATCAACCGAGTTCTCAGTTTATTACAAATAGAATCCCATTTAATGATTATATTCTAACTTCTGGTATATTTTAATTATGACAAGAAAATATAATTATTTTAATATTATTAATTAAAAATCCTTTAAAAAATGAAAGGAACAAAAATCAAATTTTATTCATGTGAAATATAGTAACAATAAAAATATAGATAAATACAGAATATATTTTTAATCAGTAATGAAATATAATTTTTGAAAAAACAACTAATAACAACCATAGAACTAGATTATTTAAGAACAATATTTATAGGCACATATACAATTTAAGTAAAGTTAAAAACATAATGGGTTGTTTATGACAATATTAAAAAAACAAACAAACAAGACACCAAAAGAAGTACTCGTATGTAAAGTTGGTAGATCCACTTACAATCTCAAAGACTATGTCTGAGAGGCGGATTACATTCTAGGAAACCGTTCTTCCAAGCATTAAAGGACACTTCAACTACCCACATTCTGCTCGCATAAACTAATACACAACTGAGACACTCTTAAAGCTATGGGGCGAAATGACGAATTAAAGCATATCAGAAGACAAAAGATGAAACAAAATATACGCCCATCTGTGTGCCTTTTTTTTTCATGTTAAGATTTTAATATTAAATTTCATTGTATACATGTAATTGTAATCTACAAAACTTATATTCAAAGTTATTTTGAATATGATAATGAGTACAGTAGACTCCTGCTTATCCGTCCTCGTCAATAAAAAAAACTCCAATTTTATTTTAACTTATATATTGTGGGAAAATCTTTAAAAAGTTATCTTTCAATGACACAATTCGATTTCTTTTTTCACTCATCTTGTCACACTAGTTAATTAAACAAAAGGTGTAACACAACTTAAAACAAAAATGTAGTTCACAAACAAAAACTTTGACTAAAACCTTTCAAAGAAAATGTGTCATTCCTAATGTTTGTAATGTACGCAGTACAAAACTGCAATGCATCGATAAGTACTTCTTCATTTCTTTTTTAATGTTTCTATGAAATAAATTAAGGATAAGGATTTTGTTTCTAGAATGAATTTTACTTCGGAAAGATTTGTTTTATTGAAGTCCGGTAAATTGTAAAAAATCATTTTTGTCTACGTTTAAATCTATTTAAAATTTATTAAACTGCAACACAAAAAATTAAATTTATAAGCAGTGGTTGAGAGTATCACAAAGTTATAAGTTCTTTTAAGGATATTATTTTTTTTTTTTCTTTTGCTGCTACCACCGGTTTATCTGTAGAGCCAATTAAGAGAAAGCCGGTTAAGAAGGAGTCTACTGTATTTTGCAAAGATAAGATCGAGTAAAACCTTATTCTACATTCATTTATCTTTTTTTCTCTTAAGGTAAATGTTAAGTTATTTTAAGGTAGACTGTTTCAGATCCACACTCCATCATTGAGGTCACATTTCACTTCCGGCGTTCGATTGGCTACTTCATGCTCCAGATTTACGTCCCTATCACTCTTGTAGTCTGCAGCTCCTGGATATCGTTTTGGCTTGATCCACTGGATTCCGACAGTCGCATAGATCTCGGTACGTATCTTTCACTCATCTCTCATTATTAATGTCTGCACCGATCCCTTAAAACTATTTTATATCAAATTAAATATAATTTATTCTTTCCCAAGTTAGTTAGACAATATACTTTATTATTTTCCTAGTTAGTTTATTTAGCTGTATGTATTCTGATTGAGCTAGAAAACATTAACTATTTTATAGGCTACTAATCTTTTCTAGTTGCCTTATGAAGATTAAAATTTATTTGAAGCTTTGTTTTGAAATTAAACTCGACTTAAAATCGAACTGGTATGTTCTTTGTTTAAAAGTTCTGGAGATTTGCCCCCCCCCTCCCAACTTTGAAAACCCCAGACTTTGCCATACCTTAAACCATTAAAGAAGTGATGATCTCAGAAGTATTATGGAGTAGGATTAGTAACCACGAAAAATAACAATAATAGCCGCAAGTGTCAATGTAATAGTGGTTTCTTTCCTTTTTTCAAATCGATTAAACATTAACTAAACCAAAATACGGAGGATTTTCTATTCGTTATTTGAGCCCTGTTTGAAATGAAGAGTGCCAGTGGAGACACAGGAACAACTAGTTTCAACATAAAAGAAATATTGAGAATTAAAAAAAAAAAAAAAATACTGTTGGAATAACAAGCCAAATGTTCGTTTTGAATGAGCGGGAAGACAAATATGGTTTATCAGAAATGTAAGAGACCTATCTGTAATGAATATAGTGCAACAGTTTGCTTGGATTGTTGTGAGTGAGTGGTTAATTAAATGACCTTCACTGTAGGGTTTATTATTTTTTTAAGTAAATACAAATTTCTTTCCTATTTTTTACATTCCAAATCTATATACTTAATTGATATAAACTTAATATATTTTCAATGGAAAAGTATTGATCCATTTTCTGTTTTTTAGCAACGTATATGTTAACATTTTACTTTATGAGATAATGTAAAATATATTCTCCAAGGTTACCTTGAATTTATTTATTTTTTTGGTTTTCCCGATCAATTAGTTTATTTCTGAAATGTATTTGAGTTTTCCAGAGCATGACAGTTAAATTTTATGATAATTTAAAATTTGGGATGTACCACACAGCAGAGTGTCAGATGAGTTGACGTATTTAAGTGTGTCGTTCTAGGGGTAAGGAGAGGTCGTTAAGGCAATTCAATGAATGCATCAATTTTTTATAAATTTGCATAAAAAATGTAATATTTCATTGTAAACTTTTATAGAATTAAATAAAGTTTAATTAAATAATTGTTCTTTTTTGACCCGGATAAATTAATAAATAACCAATTAATTCTTAAAAATTCTTGAATACGGAAAATCAAAATTTCACTCACAGTAAAGCAACCAGACAACGATACCTTTAGAATCTCTAAATGACTAATAACAACAATTAGGCTAGTGTTAAATTTAAACATAATAAATAATGGAGTAGGTACTTCTTAAGAAATCGAATACCCAAGAGCTGAACTAGAACTAGAATGGTGAGGCCACATTACAGGCAAGGAAACCGGAGAACGAACTGGAATTCAATCGATTTAATAAGGAAGATGGTAACAGCGATATTATGATGCTGCGAAATTGAACGAGACTATGATTGCTGAGAGTGAAATGGTGATATGATCTTATCAGCCTCGAGGGGCACTGTTTCGAATCTGGCCAAGGCGAATTGAAATTAATGCTGTGGCGGACCCACCTTCTGAATCTCAACCTTTCCACTTGCTTTAAATACGTTGATTATACTGTAGAACGATTGTGTCCCAAATTGCCACAATTGTGTCACAAATGGTCAGATAAACGGTAAAAAGAAAAAAAAAACAAAGACGTAATATTGAAAATTTCATAAAATGAATTGACATGAGGAAACACCAAGAAAAAACAAATAAACTACAAAATTCTTTTTAATTGACATGTTTTAATTTTATCTTTCAAATAATTTCTTTTATAAATTGTAAACATAATATTGATTTTATTTTATAATAATATATTTATGTTTATAGAAAATGTAAATGGAGATATATTTTATCAGTGACTATTCTTTGTTGCAGTGGTTACTATTGTCCTCACTATCACGACGTTAGCCCTTGAGGGCAGAGCCGATCTTCGAGTCTCCTACGCAACGGCCCTCGATTGGTACATTATAATCTGCTTCGCCTTCGTCTTCGCGGTCATGATTGAATATGCAGTAATTAACTTTTTAAACAAATTGGCAACGGACATTCAGAAAATAATCGATGAAGAGTCCCGAAGAAAATCTGAATTGGTAGGAGAATATAAAAATATAATAAACTAATATAAACCGTTAATAAATATTAAATTGGAGAATAAATAATTACTGATGCATCATTAAAAAAATCTGGTGCGTGCAACCCACAACTTTCACTCATCGCTCTACTTTGAATAGAAATAATTTTCTGGCAAAGTTGGACTATTATAAAATTTTTGAAGTGCGTTTTTAACGGCGCTACAACCTAAACCTTACAGATAACAATTTTTGTTTTCCTACCCCCAGGAATTTCTTGATTATAAAATACAATATATATATATATATATATATAAATGTATATATACATAATTTTTTGAAGGTAAGAGGGCACGCTGTATGCGTTCTTTGCATCTGTGGCCAGAGGCCTTTTATTATACCACTGGGACATATAACAATTTTTTTTTTTTTTTCTTACACTCCAAAATATTTATTGAAACAATTACATATATAGTATACAATATATACATGCAATAAATTCCTTCCACTGCCCGAGGGCATTTTAAGGATTGGGGATAGCTAAGGGTTACATATGTGGCAGAAGGCCTTGTGATTTTGACATTGAACGGACATATAACAAATTTTTTTTTTTTCTTTCTTCTTACCCTCCAAAATGTTTATTGAAACAAATTACATATATAGTATAAAATATACAATATATACATGTGATAAATTCCTTCCACTGCCCGAGGGCATTTGGACATATAACAAATCATTAAGACCATTATTATAACAAAACCCCTATTAATTATATCGACAGGAGGCAATGAAAACCTAGTTACTCCATCTGTTTTTGTAAACCACGTTACTCCAGTATCTGAGCTATACGTCTAGGTATATGCCTAGAGAGATTTGAAAGTGTATCTGTATATTCAACCTATATATGATTATGGATTGTACGCCTATTAGTTATTAAACGTTATTTCCATTGTAAAGTTTGCTAAAATGGAATCACGAGATTTTCATTGTCATGGATAGATCAAAAGTTGTCACACCAATTTTAAGAGGCAAATCAAATTATTATTGAATAATTCATTAAATTATTCACCAATTTAATTTTCTAAAAAGTTACATGAAGATTTTACTGAATAAACGGTCGCTGATAATTAATTATTTAAATATAATATCAGATCCAGAATTATTAAATTATAGTTTCTTATAGGTATACCTATTGAATATTATTTCCGAAGATTCATTTTCGGGCTAAATAAGTATTTTTTTATATTTCCTGTTTTATTCAATTATCAAATTCTTTCAAAACATATATTTAGCTTTTTTTCATAATTTATATCAATGAAAAATATCTGGTGTGTCCACTCACATGAATTTCCAACCTATTTCAGAATAGTTTTTATATCTTTACATATGTTCATATGTTAAGAAACAAAAAAGAATTGAACTAGATACATTTTCCTGAAAATTAATCAAACATAAGATTTAAGAACAATTTATTTGATAAACTAAAGCAATGTAAACCGGCTTAAGGTAGATCATTGTAAAAATTTCAATACTTCCTAATATTGCTAATCAAAAACGTTTTGCCATTGCTTAGTATTATCAAACAATAATTTCTGTTAAAAGTAGAGGAAATAGTGAAGATTGTGTGATGCGGGCAACAGATTTTCTTACTTTCACTTAGTCGTCTATATTCTCTCGTTCATAACTTTCTGACACCCCGTAATCTTCCATTGGAAATTGAACAGCTGTAACTTCGTTAATAGTTGTCCAAAGTGAACGATTTTTATATAGCTTAAGACAGACTAGACTTTTATAAGACACACCTATGGCTAAAAATGTGTTTTTCGGACTCAAGGGATTCTGAAACGTATAGATCCGTCGAAAACCGCATGTCGGATATTTGACCGGATTGCAATACTTTCCTTACCTAGTATAGGTAGGAAAGTAATAAGTTAAAAAATGTGTAAAAATTAGAATAAGCTGTATCATCGCTAATACTGGTTCGATTCCGATGATTGTTTTTTGTTTTGTTGGTAATTTAATTATCTTTCAAAAGTTTTATTATAAACTTTACCGTATAATATATCCTTAGAGAGTTAGGCCCCATAACATTTTTCTTTTATTTATAATTTTTTTTCCTGATTTTTTTTCGGAAATTTAGTCTATATACGAAAATTGAAAGAACAATAATTAGAAAATTATAGGAAAGTTTCATCAAAATGGTTAGAGCCGTTTTTGCGCTACAGTCTATAGAAAAACATGTTTTTCATTTATTGCGTGCAAGCAATTACGCATGGAGCTCCCAATTTCTGTCACAGGCATTGGTAGTCAAAACCCTACAAAATAAAAAAAGAAGCAACAAAATCGGTTCAGTAGCTCCCAAGAAAATCTTGGCACAGACAGACAGACAGATAGACAGACAGACCAATGGCTAAAAATGTGTTTTCGGACTCAAGGGACTCTGAAACGTAGAGATCCGTCGAAAACCTCATGTCGGAAATTTGACCCGATTGCAATTCTTTCCTTACCTACTATAAGCAGGAAAGTCATAAGTTAAAAAATGTGTAAAAAATAGAATAAGCTCAAAGTCAATTATTTAAAATAAACCAAATTAAAAGTACTTTAGAGGAAAACATGTTGAACATTGGGCATTTAAGCTCTGTAAAGTGACATGAGCTCAAAATCTAAATAATTTATTATTACTTTCCTTATTAAATGCCACTTAGTTATACATTTATACACCAAGTTTCATCAAAATCGTTATAGCCGTTTTTTCAGAGAATCTTCTTTATTATTTTTTATTTTATTGAAATTTACAACTGTATTACATGGAAAATACAATAAGTAAATGTGACATTGGTAACATGACATGTACAACATGAAGAGAAACTACCCATTAGTAAATTATTATGTAGTAGAACAAATTAAAGTTCTATATTAGAAGGTCCCGAGGCCATCTTATTTTCAGACGCCTCGGAGGGTTATCAGAGATCGAGGAGGAAGCAAGGTTTGAAACGAGAGGATTCGGATGGTTCTGCAGTATGTTATGGAATGATAGGTATCTGGATTGGGCTAAATCGGAAACATATGGAACATTAAGGTCTTTATGGAAAATCTTAAAAATGAGTTTTATCGATTCTATAAAGTGACACTTCTTGTTAGCCAATTTTGACTAAAACGTTGCTGTAACATCTTAAGCATATAAAAACCTTAAATATGCAATTCTACTTTCGTACGATTTTTCGTTTTTGATTCGTTAGACTGATAACATACACACGGACCATTTTGCAGGAATTGGTTATTTGGATTCGGAGACCTCAAAACTTGTATTTCCGATGAAAACTCAGATTCGAAAATTTTCACGATCGCAATACTTTTCCTTATTTTATATTACATATATAGGTAAGCGGAAGTAAAAATAAATATCTCCTACAGGAGTAAATGGTATAAAATAATTACATCATTATGTGCATAACAAGGCGTGTCTTGATTGTCAACAAGGCTGATGAAACGTTTTAGGGTAAAATTTCTTTTTATCAGGCGAGGGAACTCCAGGAGAACCCTGCGCTACTCTCCCAACCGCGTCACTGGTACTAAAGCCAGCGGAAATTGAATAGGGTAAAATTAAAATTATTTTCAGATGAATTCAAGGATTTAGCAAATATACGAACTATTTATGAGAGTAGCAACAATAAAACTTATGGGCCCAGAATTCGACAACGATTGTACCAGGTAAATTCATTTCCTCTTCTGTTAGCCTTAATTTAGCGCTTGAACACTGAATGAAGCATAACAGCTTATTTAACCTACCTAATTTAACCTGGTGAAGGTAGATCATTTGTTGATTAAAGAAGTTCTCAGAATGATATTTCACTCCGTATTGTTGTAGCTGGAAAAAACATAACAGATTTTACTAACAGCTACTTCTGGCTGTAAAAGAACTTCCTTAATTAAATCTATTAAAAGAAGATCGTTCGATTGTGCCCGGTTCACTCTTTTATGAGCGTTTGCAAATCTTTATTAACTAAAAAAATAAATGAACGAATGAATATGTATATATATTAATAAATTTATTTACTTGTATTTTAATAAATATAAAAATATAATATAAAACAAACTTTGAGAACATAAAACTATACACAAAAAGTATAGAAGATGCTAAGAAAAAAAATATAATAACACAGTATTTAAAATAAAAACAGACGAACACAATGTACACTATCTAAAAAGAATTATTCTGTATATTGCCCATGCTACATCTACACTGTTATCTCCACGCAGCCCTCTCGCCTAGGAAGTGTTTTCATGGTACGAGATTTATTCTCAGGCACTCCCCTACTGTTTCCTTTCATTTATTTTATGTTGACAAAAAATAATACAATATGAACAACAACATACGTGTAAATACAGTTATACTATTTGAGAAACGAATAGTACAATTAAATAAATAGTTGTATAATTTGTAAATTAGAGGTTGGTCCGCCGTTATGCGGGTAGGGAGGCCGCTATCATTATAATATTAGAAATATAACTGACCCTATACATGTTAAAATTAATATTGATTAATACACCCGTGATGCTTTCATATTAAAAATAATAATATCTAATTTCAAAGGAAGAGCAACAAAAACTGAGGAAGGAAAAGAGCTTCGAAGCAGAAGACGAATTTGAAGAAATAGACTTCCACCCTGGAGCCCCTCTCAGGCGTTCCCACTCTCTGCCTGCAGATCTAGCTTCAGAAGCCATCAGGTAGGGGAAGTAGAATATAAATATATAAATAACCTACTATTTCCACATAATTAATATAACATTTAAACATTTTATTTTTTCTAATAGAATCATCATTGTTACCTGTTAGAAATCTGCTATTGTTTCCCTTTACCTCCTGCCAAATAAGATCCCGGTTTAATTGAAAATATATGTTAATACGAACGTATTTGACATCTGGGTTAACTGAAGTTGTTTATCAAGCAAGAGGATTCACATGTTCGTTCATAGGACGAAAAATCAACATTTTGTAAACAATCAACAACAATCAAATGACGAAAATTCGTCATTTTAGTTTTACAGAAAATAATTGATTATGTTTGTTTGTTTGTTTGTTTCGATGTCTAGGCGCAAAACATCCAGGTCATAAGCGCCCGATCAACTAAATAACATCACTTAATACTATTTGGATGGTTGGTACAAAAAAAAATAAATAAAATAAAATAAAAATAAAATAAATAAAGAAATGGATTGATAGAATAAAATAAATAAATAAGGGTGATAATAGACATTTATAGGTAATAAGATATATAAGAAATGTATAAATAAATAAACTTTAAAAAACAGCAGTAGAATCAATAAATGAATTGAGATTAATAAACAAATGAAATCAAATCAAATGAAAAAAATAAATAAATAAAAAATAATAATAATAAAAATAAGAGAAAATACAATAAAAATAAATAGATAAAAGAAAATTAATAAATAAAAAAAATAATAGTAAATCTGCAAAGGATCATTAATTATAAGCCTGTCAAATGTGTTTTTTAAGTCTTACACTATCCAGGAACTTGATGACTTTGGTAAAGATTTCTTCTTGATTTCCCAGGGATGCTGATACATTCTGGAGTATTCCGAGATCTTTTAATCTTGCGGTGTAAAAAGGGCATTCTTCCAAAATAAGTTTTATAGTTAGTGATTGGTTACACTTTTGACATCTGGGGATAGAATCTTTTGTTATGACGTGGATGTGAGTCAGTCTAGTATGTCCGATCCTCAGCCGCGTGGACGACCTCTTCTCCACGACTGCTGCGTCTGGAGCTGGTCCACGGTTGCACCTCTTTCTTTATTGTTTTTAATTTGCTAGGTGCGCTGTTGTCACACCGTCTTTGCCATTCTTGGAATATGGTTTCTCTCAGAGCTCGTGCAAGTTCAGATGGTGTCAAAAAAACTTTACCGCGGCCTGGAAGAGTAAGAGATTCTTTTGCTGCTGTATTAGCCATTTCATTTTCTTTAATTCCTATATGGCCAGGCGACCAGATAAAATGTGCCGTTGCTCCAACTCCATGAAGCATTTGTATAAGACTTAGAATGCAGTGTATCCCTGGATGGTCTGGATACATGTTATTCATAGCTTTCAGAGTACTTATTGAATCCGATACCACAACCACATTTGCAACTGGCTTCTTCATGACGTATCGGAGACTCATTGCTACGGCGTTAATCTCTGCTGTGTAAACACTACAAAGATGGTGTAATTTATATTTGTAGGTAGTATATGGAGTGACAAAGGCTGAAGCAGTAGATGTATCGGATTTGGATCCGTCTGTGAATATTAGAAGATGTTCAAGTAACGTGATGATTATTTTGTGGAATTTTTCTTTGTAATCTGCAGGTAATGTAGTATCTTCGGTGAATTGGGTGAGTTGGAGATTTAATTTAGGTTGTATATAGGTCCAAGGGGCTGTTTCTTTTTCTATTTCATGTAATGTTATTTGTTTTAGTTTATTTATAATAAGAGACATTCTTTCTGCCAATGGTAATGTGGTATTACTTTTTTCTTTAAATCCTTTTGAGAATTTAGATTGAAAAACATATTTATGGGAGGGGTGTGAAGTTTGCGGGTATAATTTAGTAATATAGTTTATTGCAAGTTTCTGTCTTCTAAAGTGCAGTGGTGTAAGGCCAGATTCTACACAAATGCTCAGGGTTGGGCTTGTTCTAAAGGCTCCAGTTGCAAGGCATATTCCAGTGTGGAGCACGGAGTCGAGCTTGGCTATAGCATTTTTCCGGGCAGAACCGTAGACAAAACTAACATAATCTATTTTTGCGCCGATCAGAGCTTGGTATACTTTAATCATGGTAGTTCTGTCTGCTCCCCAGTTCCACTAAGTACTCTCAGTAGCTGAAGTTTTTTAGTACATGTATCTTTGAGTGATTTTATGTGGTGTTCCCAGTATAGACGTTTATCAAATAATAATCCCAAGAATCTGCAGGTGTTAACATATGGTAAGATGGCGTCACCTAAAAGAAGTTCTGGCGATTGAGGAGTATTTCGTTTTCTGCTATAGTGAATACATTTAGTTTTTTCAGAAGGAAAATAAAGTCCCGATGATTTCGACCAGTCATCAATACGATTCAGTGTTTCTTGGAGCTTATCTTCTACAGATAGGACATCTTTCGCTCTGTATAGAATAGCAAGATAGTCGACAAAGAGCATTACTTTGACTCCGCGTGGAAGATTTTTTCCCCAAGTCACTAACCGCCAGTTCGAAAAGTGTTGTACTTAAAACGCATCTCCTTGTGGTACTCCACTCACTTGTCTACATTGCTTTATAACAGTTTCCCTATACGGACGCGAAAGCAGCGACTAGAGAGGAATCCTCGAAAGAATTTTGATAAGTTACCTCTGAATCTTAGCGAGTGTAATTTGTTTAAGATAGCATATTTGTCAGTTTTATCGAAGGCTTTTTTCATATCGAAGTAAACTGTAATAGCTTGCTCCTCTTGGATGAATGCATACTGTAATTCGGCTTCCATTTGAACCAGGTGGTCTACAGTTGATCTGCCTTTGCGAAAACCACATTGGAAGTTTTGGATGAGATGATAATTTTCTAGGATCCATGTGAGTCTCTTGTTTACCGTTCGTTCCATTACTTTGCATAGACTGCTGGTTAAAAATATTGGTCGGTAGCTGGATGGATGACGTTTATCTTGACTACCCTTCAATATTTGGACAACTATAGAGTCGTTCCAGCTGCTAGACAAGTTACCACTAAGCCAAATATGATTGCAAAAAATTAAAAGCCAGTTCAATGTAGTTTTCGGAAGATGTTGTATCATGGAGTAGTGTACATTATCTGGTCCTGGTGAAGATCCTTTGACAGTTTGGAGTTCAAACATGCTGAATGGAATGTTGTAATCTTGATATGCATTATCGTCAGAGAAGTTTAGATCTTGAGCCATATTATTTCTAGAAGTCGTTGTGTAAACTTCTGAGTAATATTCGGCAAATGTTCTTCCAACAATGTCTGGGTTATCGCATAGTTTTCCATCGCATATCAGAGTATATTTGTAGGAAGAATTGGTTCCTCCTATCTTCCTCATTTTGTTCCATACAACATTGCAGGGAGTAGACGAGTTAATGGACTCAACAAATGATTTCCATGATTCTTTTTTCTTGTCATTTATAATTCTTCTGCAAACAGCCCTTTGTTTTTTATATTCAATGTGATTAACCTGATTCATATTTTTCTTAAATGTCTTAAATGCATTTCTCCGAAGTTGTATGGCTTTCTTGCAATCACTATCGAAACAGGGGACAGGTGTCCTTTTGTAATGGCCTTTGGTTTTACGGATTGAGAACTCTGCTGCCGTAAGTATTGTCTCAGTTATAGATTTACACCCATCATCTACATTCATACTGTTAGGGTGATATTGAAGTGGGACAGTTAAAGACGTGAATAGTGACCAATCTGTTTTTTCTAATAGCCAACGAGGGACGCTGTAATTATTGCAGTTTGCACTTCTGAATTTTAGACGAATTGGGAAATGGTCACTTCCATTAGGCTCTGGTAAAACTGTCCACTCTATATTATCAATCAGTGAGTAAGTGCATATAGAGAGATCAATGGATGAAAATATACCAAAGCTAGAACTTATGTATGTTGCTTCGCCGGAGTTTAGTAACAGAGTATTCGTTAAATCTAAGAAAGTTTCTATAATGCGACCTCTAGGATTTGTTTCTTGTGAGCCACATAATGGGTTGTGGCCATTGAAATCTCCAGTGTACAAAATTAGCTTTGTCAGCTGCCTATGAATATGGAGAAGGTGTTCTGTCTCTATAGTATTGTCTTGGGGGAGATAAATGTTGCAAATTGTGAATGTTGTGTTTACATGAAATGTAACAGCTATTACTTAAAGTGGGGAATCTATTTCTACTGGGTGGGAATAAACGGTATCTTTTACGGCTATGGCTACGCCTCTACACGCTCGCTTGTAATCTAGACCACAAACTGTCCTATAGATATTGAAGGCTTTAAGGGTGAATTGGTTTAAAGCCTTTAGATGCGTTTCTTGGAGGCATATACAAAAAGGATCTTCATCTTCCATTATTAGCTTCAAATCGTTGAAGTGACTTTTAATACCATTGCAATTCCACCGGATTAGGGTCATGATTTAGGTACGGTATAGAATAGAAAAAACATATATTAACATATTTGGAGATGATATTTGTAATTTAATTTAATACTAATAATCATTGAATAAAAGCAATATTTAGTTGTCGGCTATTTTATTCATTATCTGTTTTATTTGGAGATTTTTTTCGGGGTCTTCCTTTTTTCTTTTGTAGGGTATATCCCTCCCCATCTACAGCATTTTCTGCAGACTTATCGTCTGGTGGTGTAGCGAGATCGGGATTGGGGGATTGGAGATTTGTAAGGGAGGTGGAGAGGGTAGGAGAAGAGAGGGAGCAAGAGTTGGCGTGGGGAGCAGAAGGGAAAGACAAAGAGGAGGAGGAGAGATTAGAGGAGAGAGAGGAAGTGGAGGCAGAGAGGATAGATGGCTGTCAACGTCGGTTGTCTGTGGTCGACCAGTCTCTCGATCAGAGATAGCTGGTGTGGCCTAGACATCAGAAGAGATAATCTCATTGGGTTTATTTATCTGTGAATTTGTTGAAGTAACTGAGAAAGAGTACATAATATTAGTCTGAGTGGCAACATCTACTTTTCTGTTTGTATTATTTTGATTTTTGGCTATTTCCGTGAATGTTTTATTTAACTGGGTGGGATTTTTTTCTTTATACCTGTTTTTTGCTTCCTAAAGTGATATTTTATTATTGATTTGAATGGCTTTTATTTCCTTTTGTATTTTGAACTCGGTACAGGAGCGATCTAGGGCATTATGAGGACCATTGCAATTTATGCATTTAGCCGGCAAATTACACCTTATATTTTCTCCATGTCTTCCCTGGCCGCATTCTACGCATACTGATTCTTTTTGACATTGTGATGTCGGATGAGATAATCCTAGGTAGTTAAAACATCGTAATGGATTCGGTACGTAAGGCTGTACTCAAACTGTTTCGTATCCAATTTGTAATGTTTCTGGAGGTAAAGGTGTTGGAAAGGTAACTATATAGTTATGTGTTAGTATTTCATTACCATTCCGTTTTGATTTTATCGTGACAATATCTTTTATTACCTGAGTTAATTCGTTCTTTATTTCCTGTATGTATTGGAAGTCATAGCAACGGATAACGCCCTTAGTATAGTTTTATGCGGTGTTATTTTAACTTTCATTTGGCCTCCAAAGTCTGTAACGGATAAATGTCTATTTGATTGTTGTCCATTAAGTGTTTGTATCAATAAACAACCGTCTCTTAACTTTTTTACTGCTTTAACATCACTTGCTAACTGAGCGATCACCTTTTGAATAAAAAATGGAGAGGTTTTTTTTAAAGTCTTCTTGATCGGATCGTTTAGCAACAAGATATGTTGGAGTTGTATCTCTGATTTGCTGAATGATTTTGTCCGGAGGGAATTTAATTTTAGTACGAGCCCATTTTCTCTTTTTAGTTAGGACGGTAGATAGATCGGGAGGACCAGGAGGCACCTCCATATTACAATATAAGAAAGGCAGAAAATTAATAAAGAGTATATAGAATAAAAATGTTTATAGAATGATAGTAGAGGAGAAGTATTAGTTTTAAATTATTATAACTTAAATAACCCTAAACTACATTTCAATTAACTATTAAAAGCTAACTTAATACTAATAGGTAAATTTAAAAAATATAAAAATATGTGATTATATAATAGAGAATATAAGTCACTAAACTAAGAATATTACGGAAATTAAATGATTTAAGTAAACAATTAATAAGATTATTGAATAAGTAAGAAATATTTGTAAAGTAGGTAAGAAAAATAGCAAGCTTATATGTCCCTGGAAATCAGACACGAGGCGGCGGCAGCTACTCAAGGAGCTATAGTTAATCCTAACTTCAGAGATGCCGCAACTTCAAAAAGCACCATCCGCGATGTGAAGCCAACGACAGCTGAAGCACGACTGATAATTGATTCTATTTTGGTAGACTTTAAGGTGAAAAATTTCAACATCATCAACGCCTGTAAATTAATTTTGTTTATCTCTTATCTAAATTTAAATGATTATCGTTATTTTAATTCTTAATAAACTAAATTCTTATATTTAGCGAGCAAATATGAAGAGAAGCCCGCACTTTTTGAATGGTGGTGCAAAACATTTTCAACCAAAATTTTCGATTTTCAACCACTGTGCGTCTCCTCAATATATGTCAATTACGATTAGGGTTCATATTTGAAATGGACGACTCATACGTACACACATATACACAAGTCACATATAAGTTTAAATGAGTTTTAATTTTTTTAATAAAAATATGGCACAATTTTAACAATAAAAACTTACGTACAATTAATAGTATTGATCCTGTGCAATACCAGTGAAAATTTTTACAAAAGACTGTACACACTACATAGATTAAAAAAAAACATTGCTACGAAATTTAATTTAACGTTAATAGCTATATCTATGTACTATATATTGCGTATACTACATTTTCATACAATCTAGTGCAGTACAATATTCCTAACTTACTGAATTAAAAAAAAAAAAAAAGAGAGAGCAAAGTATACGAATAACTAATGGGTTGGCCGAGAAATCCAGGAAACAAACAATGATGATTAAAAGCTTGTTGAGAAACAACCCATTGTAATTTTCATGGGAGTTGGGACTGACTTTTACCAATTAATGTCTTTTCAAATTCACGCCCTTTGAATAGGCAATACAATTTTTTTTATTTATTTATTAGGAAATATTACAATTTGTCACAATTAAGGGCATTTGTAATTGTGTTCAGAGAGCACATTCACACTTTATTTACAATAAATAAAAATAAATAATACAGAAACTAAGAATAATAAAAGTAAATGTTTATAAACAAAAGAACTAAACTAATCAAAATAACAACTAAAATGCATGCATACTATACAATAATTACAGAATCCATTCACTCAGAAGAACTCCGAGCCAAGCCTTTCTCCCCACTCGTGGAAGGAAAGGCAGGACTCTAGGAGATCCAGCGCCTCACGCTGAGCAGTATTACAGATATTAAGAACCAGTAGAGGCTGAGGAGAGGCACTATAATCACACATACTTGTCTTGAGAGGAGGATCTGACCATTGCCAAAACTCCAATATATGCTTATTTACAGAAGGTGTCTGGGCCACTGTCACTTAAACCTTAAAGGATTATAAGGATGGGTGGTACTGGATAGAGATTTGGATGATAGGTAAGATTCTGGTGAAATTTGCAGAATTTTTCTGGGATAAGGTCTAGGACAAATGGGATATTAAGGTCATGGTGTAGGGTTTTGTTTGTTACATAGAATGGAGCATCAACTATTGTGCGAAGGACTTTAGATTGAAAGGATTGGATACGTTTGATATTAGAAAAATTTGCTGTTCCCCACTGTTCAAGTCCGTATGCCTATATAGGTTTCAGGATTGTCGTGTAGATAAATAATTTGTTTTAATATCAAATTACAACAGGTTTAATAAAATAATTTTTCTTCTGCTCCGTTAACCTTCTAGTATTTTCCCGAACTATAACTATAACTCGCTTTGGGCCGTCATATGTATAATTTCAACCATTAGTGATAAGTCAATACGAAAAAAGGCTCAGGATGATCTCATAATGTTCAAACAAGTCATGTCATCGTGGACTCATAAGACAACAAAATATTCATAATTTTAATTGTATAAAATTGAAAATTTGAATATATTTTTTTAATAATAATAAATTATGAGAAGAAATATAAAAAATAACTATAATTTATTGTAACTTAAAAATGAGATGTTCTCGGGTCTACGAAAGTGAGTTATGGACCTCTTTGATTCAATGTTTAACATTTAATATAATAATTATTAACAAATAAATAAAAAAAAAGGCAAATATGTGACAAGGCCTATCTAACACTTCTTAAATTTTCAGAGAGGATACGTGGTTACCGATAAGCCCAGAAACATCTTCAAGTGCTAAATCATCGATGTTCTCTTGGTACAAGAAGTTCTACAGGAGAACACTTTCAGCCACATTGAAGTTCTGGAAGAGCTTCAACATCTTACCCAACCATCGGGGACGGCTACTGGAGAAAGGATTCAGCCAGATAGACATAGTTGCCCGAAAAGCATTCCCGATAGCTTTTGCTGTCACTGTTGCCACGTATGGCGTCCTCTATGCCTACTACATAACCGACGGAAGGGATGATGATTGACCAAGCATTTATAATATTTGACATATTAAAAGTTTTATACAATAAGTAGTATATCTTTATTATTCACCCCTTGATTACTTAATTATTATCCAGAAAATTAATGAATCCCTTCTTTGACGTTTAAATGGTTCTCAAGCGTTCTTTTTTAACTTACTAGTCTTTTATACTTTGAATATTCCTGAATCCCATCGGTCCTAAAAGCAAGAAGCCCATTTCTATTTTTGTGTTACATTTTAATTTATATGGTCTGGGATAAAATTAAAGTCTAAATCAGCGATTGTCAGTTTTATTTAATGATGCGTTTTGAATATATCATTCATATTAATAAAATTTGTAGATAACTCATAGTTATGTACAAATTGGATATAATTTCAATTAATAAAATAATGCACTATTACTCTAGGTTCTAATATAAAAAATAATAAATTTTGGTCCAAAATCATAATTAAAAAATCTTAAATAATTTCCGATTAGTGACAAGGTGTAGTTTTATTATTAAGACCATTTATTGTTCCAAAAAAAAATAAAATAAAATAAAAACATGAATGAAAGAGGCTAGGTTCAACGGCCTAACCCAATGATTCTTGATTGGAACAAAGGCAAACACTAGGGGGAGGAAAATCAGCCTGGAGCCTTAAGAAAATACCTTAAGGGAACAAAGTGAACCCTTTGTGAATCTGTTACTTGAAGTTGTTTTTTAAAAACACAAAGGCCCATCAAAATTTTGCAAATGTTACCAAATATATGAATTAAACACTATTTCATTGTACTTACTTAAATATGTTTTATATAAATAAAACATATATAGATAAGTAAAAGTAATAAGAGACACTTAAACAGTGATTTGTAAATATTGTACTCAATATTATTCAAGTTTTTGTCCATCTTTGAATAAACCTACACATAATTAACATAAAAATAAAAATATACATAAATTTCAATTGTAAGAAATATGTATATGTTAATATTGGCTGTCTTTGATGGCATTTTTAGGTACCTATCGTAGGTCAACATTTTTTATCACGTGAGCCTATTGTTCTAAAATCTAAAACTTAGTATTAATTCATTCAACAAATAACCAAAACATTATCTTAATTTAAGTTCAAGTTAATAGGATCAAAATTAAGTAAGTTAGCTATAACTACAAAAAAAAAAACTCAGTGTAAGTAGGTAACTATTGTTTTCCTGTAAACTAGGCTAAAAATATACTGTAAACTAGATTTAAAATAAAGTTAGTCACTGTTAAAACCATTTAAAGAGGAGTTTTGAGCAGAAAAATCGTACAGTAACAAATCAATATAAAATTATTTAATTTACTCATGAAAAAATGTAAAAATCATCTAATTATTTATAATGTTAATACATTGAAATCCTATCAAACATGATGTGTCAAAAAAAAAATTAAAATCCATATTACAATCAACTAACTCTAGTTTCTATAAAGAGAAATTAGAAAAAAATACATATATAGAATTACACAAACAATAGAAAATTGAAACATAATTCACTAAACGAATACAAAAATGTGACCAAAATTAACTGGCAAATAATTAAATGTATTTCTTAAATTGGTTAATTGGCTGGCACGTAAAAAGAATGAAGTAATGTAGAAGATATAAAAAGATTAAAGATATGAAGTGTATGTATATATTATATATACCAGGCTACTTGATTTCAGATATTTAATTTTAATTAAACTTTTCAATAATTTATTGAACATTCGCTGAAAATACAGGTATTTTATGTGAAAAGATATCAAACCACACAATTCATTTATACAACTTGAGATGATTCTTAATTATTATGGATTTAAGTTAATTATACAAGAACAATGCTAATAAAAATGAGGTATCTGTGGTATAGTTGAAGGATGATAAAAAAAACCTCCAATAATTCATAATTTGAAAAAAAAAAAAAAAGAACTTAAGGGAGTTTGTCTGGAGGTTGAATGCCTTCTTAAACTGAATATTTTCCAGCTGCACCCCAAAAAAAAGGGAATTTAGGGAAAAGCTCTTAACTTCTCCTCTAATTCTTCGTAGTGCTCTCAAAATGTTTTCCATTTCTTTTTTAGTCTTGCCTGTAAATATATGTTATCTTTACAACTCGTTAAGATGTTTGACACTCTTTTATTAGACGAAACGGCTGATCAAGTGAAAAATATGCCAACCAAACCTAGTGCCACAAGGTGCCACGCGTATTTCCCAATTGTATTCAATATTTCATATATTTGTTTCTTGGGAACTTACTTTACTTGGGAATTTACTTTAAATCTAACGAGTTTTAAACACATATATTAAGACCGAACTTTTCTGTGGGCGGGGTAGCCGAATGGGCTAATGCGTGTGCACCGCACCACCGTTGCCCGGAAACCTGATATATGAATCAAATGATATAAAAATAGTCACGAGTTCGCGTCCCGGTGCCGAGGGAGTCTTTTGTGGGCCGGGTGGCCGAATGTGCAACGCGTTGTGCACAGCACCACCGTTGCCCGCCAACCTGATATATGATAAATGATATAAAAATAGTCATGAGTTCGAATCCCTGTGCCAAGGCGTCATTTAAATCCCCGCCCACACCCTCTGGCCCGAGAAATCCCCGTATAGCCTTAGCGGCTACGAAGGGGAGGACCCTCCAAAAAAAATAAAAATAAAAAAGACCGAACTTTTCTTAGGACGTTCATCGTGGTATTGAACTCAATAAATAAATGCACTATTACTCCAAATATATATATATATATTGTTTTGTTTCATTTTCCTTTTCGCCAGTAGTTGTGTTATTATTATTATTACATTTATTTTATTATTATGACATTTATTATTATTATTATTAGTTTCTGTATTATTTATTGTGAACAGAGTGTGCTCTCTGAACACTATTATAAATGTCCTTGACAGAATGCAATATTTCTAAATAAACAAATAAATATAAAAAAAAAAAATTGAAATTTTTTAATTTGAGTCTGCCAGTAGATTGAAGCGGCTTGTCATATGCAGACTAATTTTTTATTCAACTGTGAATATATAAGTATTATATAGCTTAATTTCAAATCTCCTAACTTAAATACATTTTTACACCTAAAATTGCAATTTTGCTTCCTCACTACCAAATGTAGAGAAGCAGTGTATTCGTGCGAGAGGTTAAAAAAAAATTTGTGCTCATAATCTCTCGCCTTTTACGTTTCAGACATCAAGGATCAAATTTGGTTCGGTGTCTGTCTGTCTGTAGTCAAATCGATGTAACAGGCATATCAGCTATTACTGTTTATCCGATATTCATGAAATTTTCAAGAAACTTGCGGATTGGTGTCTAAATTGTCCCATATCAATTTTATTGAATTTTAACCAGCACTTCCGCTTAAGCTCGCGCAAACGCATTTTTGTAGATATGCCAATATTTTAGAAACCGGTCGTTCGACTTTGCTCAAGGTTGGAAAAAAGGTAGTTTTTTTGTAAAAAACTAATGTAGGGTCAATTTTATTAAATTCTATCCATTGCTTTCTCTTATATATGAGCAAACGTGTTTTCCTTGATATGCCTATATCTCTAAAACCGCAAGTTCGATTTGGCTCAAATTTGGAGAGAACTTAGGGATTAGTAAACGTAAAATAAAATAGGCATCAATATTATCAAATTCTATCGAATACTCCAGAAAAAAATACTTCCACTTTCAGATCAAGAAATGTGTTATTTAATATTCCTATAGTTTGAAAACGGGCCATTCGATTTGATCCTAACAGTATAAAAATTACTTAGTATAAATTTCATTGGATTCCATTTAATAATTAAAATAACATAAACAATTGTTAACAATATAATGGCTGTGCAATGTTATATGCACTGATCATATGGTGTGGGAGTTTATTTATTTTATTTATATATGGCGCTTCGGTCCTGTAAGAACCTGGGCCTCTTATTTTCCTTCGCCACTCTCCTCTATCCCGAGCGAGCATTCTCCATCTTCGAATTCACATCCTTTTCAGGCTGTGCTCTACCTGGTCCAGCCATCTCAGACGTGATCTCCCCCTTGCACGTTTTCCACCAGGCCGATCCTCTAGCAAGCGTTTGGGAATCGCGTCTCGAGGCATACGCGCGACATGGCTCAACAATCTGATCTGGTTTTCCCTCAAAATTGATACCAAATCTGGCCACGCATACATTTCATACAGCTCTTTATTAGTGCGAATTCCCCATTGTCTCTGTTCACACACCGGGCCATAGATTCTGCGAAGAACCCTTCTCTCCCATGCGAGTAGCCTTTTTTCCGAAGCTTTGGAGATCATCCAAGTCCCAAAGCCATAGGTGACGATGGGTCTGATGACTTTCTCATACACCGTGATCTTTGTTCTGTGAGAAAGATATCTGTAGTTCAATATTTTTCGCAATGCAAAACAGCACCTATTCCCCCCAGTCATCCTTGCTTTTTATTCTTCTACCATTTCGTTGTTTTATGTGACTAGTTCTTCCAAATATTTAAAATTTTCGACCACTTTTAGGGTGTGGTTACCAATTGTGTCGGCTTCGACTGTTTCACTTGGCTTTTTTGACATTTGTATGTAACCAGTCTTCTGTTTATTCATTTGTAGCCCTAGTTTCTTAGTTGCAGTTTCGAATTCTTCTAATGTACCTGCTAATGATGTTTTATTTCTTGCCGTTATCACAACATCATCAGCATATGCCAGATGCTGGGTCATTCTATTATAAATCGTGCCACCATGATATGTCCGGATCGCCCTTATTGCATACTCCAAAGCAATATTAAACAGGATAGGGCATATAGGACCTCCTTGGCTAAGCCCATCTTTCACCTCAAAATCCTCCGACAATTGGCCATTAATTTTCACAACTGATCTACTACCGCTTAAGGTCATTCTTGTCAAACTGACCAGTTTTTTGGGAATCCCTAATTTTGTCATTGCCTTCAGTAATTCTTCTTTGCTTATACTACCATATGCCTGTTTAAAATCTATGAAAACATTATGCAAGTCCATTTGGTATTCGCAT